CCCTCTCAGGACGTCACATTTGACGAGTCGGTTCCCTTTTACCGTCTCTTCCCCTACCGCTCTGCCCCTCCCCCGCCCCCGCCGCTCTTCCTTGCTCCAGGTCCCCCTCCGGTAGACCCCCTCCCCCCCAAGGGTCCTGCTCCCTCAGGTGTGTCTCAGGTAGACCCTCTCCGTGGTACTGCGCCTGTTGAGGTAGCTGTCGGCTCAGGTGCTGCTTGAGGTGCTGCGTCTGGGGGTGCAGAGTTGGCGGTTGCGGATTCTGAGGGTGTTGGGTCTGGGGGTGTTGAGCCTGGGGGTGAGGAGCCTGGGGGTGCTGAGCCTGCGGGTGTGGAGCCTGGGGGTGCTGAGCCTGAGGGTGTTGAGCCTGAAGGTGCTGAGTCAGAGGGTGCGGAGTCTGTGGGTGCTGAGCTTCAGGGTGCTGCTTCGTCTGGAGGTCCTGCTGGTGCTTCGCCGAGACTGTCTCTGCAGCAGCTGCGTGAGTGGCTTGTTCGGGGCGTATGCCTTCGGAGTGGAGCTACTAGAGCTGGAGGCGTTGGAGGCGCTGGAGCTGGAGGTGCTGGAGTTACTGCTGGAGCTGGTGGTACTGGAGCTGTCGGGACTGGTGGAGCTGGAGCTGGTGGAGCTGGAGCTGGTGGCATTAGCGCTGGAGGCGCTGGAGCTGGAGGAGCTGGAGCTGATGGCATTAGCGCTGGAGGCGCTAGAGCTGGAGGAGCTGGAGTTGGAGGCAGTGGCGCAGGAGGCGCTGGAGCTGGTGGCACTGACGCTGGAGGCGCTGGAGTTGGAAGCACTGGCGCGAGAGGCGCTGGAGCTAGAGGAGCTGGAGCTATTGTCCCTGGAGGCATTGTGCAGCCGCGACCGTACTTCGTTCCCCTACTTCAGCAGGTTCTTGGTGTCCCGTCTTCTACTAGCCTTCCTCCTCCCCTCCTGTGCCCACCGCCTCACCACTCGCAACTGTCGTTACACCCGGCCTCCCAACTGCCTACTCCTTCTCCTTACACTGAGCAGTCCAGCAGTCTTACAGAGCGTCGTGAGCTTGCGTCTCGTCCTGTCTCCCCTGTTAGCACTGCTCGTCGCGCTCCTCGTTCGCGTCCTCCTCCTGTCCCCGGCACGACGCTATGGCACTCCGTCCTTCCTCTGTTCCACTGCGTGTTTCTCTGCCTCCTCCTCCTACGTCCTCTCTTCCTGAGTTCCCTGACCCTGAGTCCGACCGCGCTCGTGCTGCCAGTCCCACTGTCTCTTGTCTCCTCGCCACTGCTGTGACTGACCCTTCTTTTGAGTCTGCTGCTGCGTCTGCCCTCGTTGCTGAGCTGCTTGACTTTGCTGCTGCCTGCCGTATAGACTACGCCACTGATCTTGTTGGTGAGTCTGAGTCTGCCGGTCCTCCGTCCGTCGGGGGTGAGTGTGCTCTTGGCACGGACGTCCTTGAGGATAGGCAAGAGGACATTGAGTGTCTTGCAGCTGCTGTACCTCGTTTCGCTTCCATGCTGCTTGCCCCTGAGGGAGACCCGGATGCTCCAGACATCCCGACCCCGTGCTCTTACGCAGAGGCGATTACGGATCCTTAATCCTCTCAGTAGCAGGCAGCCATGGATGCCGAGATGGCATCCTGGAAGTCCACAGGCACTTACGTCGACGAGGTTCCCCCACCTGGGGCGAACATAGTCGATGGCATGTGGATTTTCAGGGTGAACCGGCCGCCGGGTTCTCCGCCTGCCTTCAAGGCGCGTTACGTTGCTCGAGGCTTCAGTCAACGCCAGGGGGTTGACTACTTCCAGACCTTCTCCCCCACCCCGAAGATGACCACTCTTCGGGTGTTGCTGCACGTCGCTGCTCGGCGTGACTACGAGTTGCACTCTCTGGGCTTCAGTACAGCTTTCTTGCAGGGAAGCCTGCACGAGGAGATCTGGCTGCGCTGCCCACCTGGCTTGACTGGGTCGTTTCTTGCAGGTACCCAGTGGAGCCTCCGGCGGCCAGTCTACGGTCTCCGCCTGGTGCCTCGTGAGTGGCACAACACACTGAGGACTACACTTGCGGCTCTTGGGTTTGCTCCTTCTACTGCTGACCCGTCGCTCTTTCTACGCACCGACACCTCGCTGCCACCGTTCTACGTCCTCGTATACGTCGACGACCTCGTCTTTGCCACTGCTGACAGCGAGGCACTGACCCTTGTGAAGTTAGAGCTGCAGAAGAGACAAACGTGCACTGACCTGGGTGAGCTGCGCAGCTATCTTGGCTTGCAGATCACCCGGGACAGAGCACGGCGCACCATCACCTTGACTTAGTCCCACATGGTGCACCAGGTCCTTCAGCGCTTCGGCTTCCAGTTCTCCTCGCCACAGCCCACTCCTCTGTCTACCAGCCACTCGCTCTCAGCTCCACCTTCGGACGAGTCCGTAGAGCCGAGTGGTCCGTACCCAGAGCTTGTGGGTTGCCTCATGTACCTGATGACCTGCACACGACCTGACCTCGCGTACCCTCTCAGCCTTCTGGCTCGCTACGTGGCTCCCGGTAGGCACCGAAAGGTGCACTGGGATGCTGCAAAGAGGGTACTGCGTTACTTGTGCAGTACGTCGGGCATGGGGCTCGTGCTTAGAGGACGGGGTCCATTTGTCCTCACTGGTCACGCAGACGCTTCTTGGGTTGACGACTCAGCTACGCAGCGGTCGTCACAGGGTTACACCTTCAGCCTTGGTTCCGGCTCTGTTTCGTGGTGGTCTACCCGCTCGTCTTCGGTTCTCAGCTCCAGTTGTGAGGCTGAGATCTACGCAGGGGCCATGGCTGCACAGGAGCTACGCTGGCTCACCTACCTGCTGACTGACTTGGGAGAGCAGCCTCGTTCGCCTCCAGTTATGTATATAGACAACAAGGCCATGATTTCCTTGTGTCAGGAGCACAGACTGGAGCACAGAACGAAGCACATCGCTCTGCGATACTTCCTTGCTCAAGAGTTGCAGCAGCGTGGCCAGCTCCGTCTTGCGTACGTGGCCACTAGGGCCAACACTGCTGATATATTCACTAAGGCACTTCCGCCTGGTGATCATCAGCGCTTCTCTACTGTGTTAGGCCTTGTGCCTAATTTGCCTCACTTGCTCACTGCTTGACTCTGCTTGTAATGTGATCTATATATATACCTGCATGCTTAGACTTGCTAGGGTATGATCACTGTATTGTTTGTTCTCGTTTATATAACTCTGCATGTGAACTGGCCTTATGGCCCTTTGCTTGTGCTCGGACTGTGTGGTGACTTTGTGATCCACCCCGAGCTTGCTTTGCTTTTCTTAACTGGTCTTGTGACCACTTGTTCTCCCCCACTTTGCCTATGGGGGTGTGTCAGAATGTTATAGTCCTTACATTTGTGTAGGCTATAGTGGGGTAGCCCATAAGGGGTACAACCCAATTAGGGTTAGTACTTGTACCCAACTCTTTCATAGTTCATTCTCTTGACAAAACCGACGGCCAAACAGAACGGACAAACCAAACCATGGAGCATCTGATTCGCACGAATTGCCCCGACTTGACCAAGTTGGAGGATTGACGCGCAATGCTGGAGTTTGCGTACAACAACGCCCTCCATGATGACCAATCAATAACTGTTCTACCTCAATTACGGGATAGACCCCGTGGTACCCTCTTCAACTGCCCCCGACAACCCGGTACCACGATCCGGTCAGTTTGTATCGGAACTTTAAGCAGCCCGCGACAAAGCAACCGAATTTATTCGAAAGGCGAATACTGTCGCTAGCCTCTACGCCGATAATCATCGAAGGGATTTACCCTTCCGCGACGGGCAGATGGTTCTCCTAGACACGAAGAACCTTCGACTGCCCCAGCCAGCCAAGTCGTGTCCCCGCTACGCGGGACCTTTCCGCATCATCAAGATGCTGACACCTGTCACGTCAAAGCTGCTATTACCGGATGATTGGAAAATCCACGACGCCTTCCACGCCAGTCTGCTCCGCCATTACGTGGCCCCGCAGTCGTCCGATATCGCCCACCCCAACATCGCGCCAAGTGTTCGGCCTGTGGCAGACCTGACACTTCAGCCTTGGAAGATTCTGAATCATCGCGTGCGTGCGACACCGACAGGACGCCAGGTCGATTTCCTCCTGCGATGGGTTGATCGCACAAGTGAAGATGACACGTGGGTCACAACCGACTCTCTGCAAGGCCACTTGGTATTACGGGATTATCTTTCCCGCCGACGTGTGCCTGATATTGACCACCTTTCTTAAAGGAGGGGGGTAGTGTAAGGAATTTTCCCTAATTCCTTACTGAGGCACTCCATGCGCGTACAACTCCAACTTTCGGAGTTCCAGGCTCAGTCCGACGACCTCATTATCCAAACGTCCCTCGCGTCGCCTTCGGGTTTCCCAACCCCGAACCTGCACCCAACCATACGCGGTCCCACGACCTCGGCCTAGCTAGCCTTCGCCATATCAATGCTATGTTTCATTATTTGCTGAGTTTTTGTATTCACTTCCACGTTATTGATTCCAGCGCATTCTTTTCATTACAACTCATAGCAAGTATGATACGTACCGTATTTGTGACTTGGTGTTGGTCGTCGTGTAACGCGGTGTAACGTGGTGGTCGTATTCACTAGGAAGTTTTTTCAATTTAAGGTGCTGAATAAATTTTGAAAATTCAGTGGGGTGGTTGATTATACGGTACAAATTGAGAAAACTTGCTTTCTGTTCTTGCAAAGGCATCGTGCTTCATTACAATTGCAGTAATTACAACATTCTCGTCCAAATAGATTATACAAGTTGCGTATACGACTAGGGTGGGTGGGTGGGGAGTGGAACTGCAAGTTCCAAATGAAGACGTGGGTGGAGGCCAAATGGCCTCCAACCCTCGTTATGTACTCGGCGAATTGTAATTCGCCGTTGCCTTGCTGCGATACAGACAGCTGCGCTTTCACAATACGCATTTTTAGAAAGTGTTACACACTTTCAAAAAAAATCATGTTACAATCATAGACATGATTCACCGGAGTGCTTTCATGCAGAAGTTTTTGGCACGTGACAGTGATGAAGGGAGGTGAGTGGCAGAAAGGGGTGGGTGACCTGATTTTGAGAGTGCAAAGGTGGTAGTGGTGAGAAAATGGGGGTGATGAGGAGATAAAGGATCAATTACATGTTTGAAGGGAGGGTGAAGAAGGAAGGGGAGGGGAGTGAGGGAGTGGAGAGGATGTGGTTTACATGAAATGCTTAAACGTAGGTGACACGGAAGTGAATACTGGAGGAAATGAATACTGTGTGTGTAGTATGAATATTGAGACGCCCCAACAGTACATGAAGTACGAATGTTACACAGTGCTGTTGAGGTGCCTCAAACAACACAGTGCTTGTAACGAGGTGGTAGGTACCTGCATCGAGATAACAGCAACACTGGGAGGGACCGAGTAAGCGGAAGCGCTATCAGGCCGGCTGGATGACGTGGATGATGCTGACGTGGAGAATGCTGACATGGAGGATGGCTGGGAGAGGGAGTATTGCCACGTGTACCTGCCTTGTGCTGCTCTGATGGACTGCTGAGTCTGCAGGCGGTTGGGATGGAGAGAGGTTTGAGCGAATGGAAGGTTGAAACAGTAGCAGGGAGGGATGCAGGGAAAAGAGGGCATGAGTGGGAACGCATGGAAAGGGTAGGCATCACAGTGTGGTGGAGGCAGAGAGATGGTTGGCTGGTGGGTCGGGGAGAGAGATGGAATGGGCTCACTACAATAGTGAAGGCGGGCCGAAGTGTGGCAATGATGAGACTCTTTGCGTATGAGAAATGCCTTTGAATACTCCAAATAGAACGAGAGAGAGGGGGATGGAAAGAGCTCACTTCAACCGCAAAGGTGAGCTCCAGAGGAGTTAAGAGGCGCTGTGCGTGCTGCCTCCTCCACTCGCTTCCGCGCCCCAACCCCACTCGCGCCCCCCGTTGTTCTCGCTGCTCCCTTTGCTCCCCTACTCTTTCTTCTGAGTCCGAGCTGGGGTGCAGCCCAAAGCGCAGAGAGCCCACAACCTGCGGGTCGGGGGAGAGACGGTGTTGGTTAGAGTGCAGGGGAGAGACGATGTTGGTTAGAGGGCAGGGGAGAGACGGTGTTGGTTAGAGGGTAGGAGAGAGACGGTGTTAATTAGAGGGCAGGGGAGAGAAGGAGTTAATTAGAGGGCAGGGGAGAGACGGTGTTAATTAGAGGGTAGGGGAGAGACGGTGTTGGTTAGAGGGTAGGGGAGAGACGGTTTTGGTTAGAGGGCAGGGGAGAGACGGTGTTGGTTAGAGGGCAGGGGAGAGACGGTTGTTGAAGATGAGAGATGGGAAGAGGTTAGGGGCTATGTGTGGCTGTGTGCGCTGCCCCCCAAAGCACAGGCTGTTAGATTATACTACTCTTCTGTATCCTACATTGATCCTATAAACCCTAGGACAGAGATAGGCACCCAAACTATGTTTGGGTGCACAACTAGGGTTAACCCTAGTTGGGGGTTGGAACCCAACCTTGGTCCAATTATTGGCCCCCAAGGTTGAGTTGAGAGATTATTGGCCCCCCCAATAATGTTGGCCCACTTTTGGCCAACATTATTGGGACCCCCCAATAATTCTCCAACCTAACTTATTGGTGGGGAGCCAATAATGATGACTAGGTACCCAACCAACCCCCCCTCCCCTAGCTTCAACTATGTAAGCCCGTATGATTCCTAATCAAGGACATGGTTCAATTCTAACATGGTATCAGAGCTCTTACGGCCAACGCCGCTCAAGATCCTAGGACCCCTCGCGCTACTTAGCGCACCTCTCGCCGGCTTTGTCGCGCCTCTCGCGCCACTTAGCGCGCCTCACGCGCCACTTAGCGCGCCTCACGCGCCACTTAGCGCGCCTCTCGCGCCACTTAGCGCACCTCTCCCCGGCTCTGCCGCACCTCTTGCGCCACTGAGCGCACCTCTCACCTACTCTGCCGCGCCTCTCGCGCAACTTAGCGCACTTCCGCCGGCTCTGCCGTGCCCCTCGCGCCATCTCGGCGCTCCTCTCCTCCCCTCGACCGTCCGCCGCGACGAACGCGACCGTCAGCCGCGGACACGACGAACGTGACCGTCAGCCGCGGACGCGACGACCGCGACCAACAACCGCGGACGCGACGTCCGCGCCGACGACAAGGGCGGACGCGACGTCCGCGCCGACGACGAGGGCGGACGCGACGTCCGCGCCGACGGGCAGCGCGGACGCGACATCCGCGCCGACGACGAGGGCGGACGCGACGTCCGCGCCGACGGGCAGCGCGGACGCGACATCCGCGCCGACGACGAGGGCGGACGCGACGTTCGCGCCGACGGGCAGCGCGGACGCGACATCCGCGCCAACGACGAGGGCGGACGTGACGTCCGCGCCGACGGGCAGCGCGGACGCGCCACCCGCGCCGACGACGAGGGCGGTCGCGACGTCCGCGCCGACGGGCAGCGCGGACGCGACATCCGCGGACAGCCGCCGCGGACGGGACGAACGCGGGCAGCCGCCGCGGACGGGACGAACGCCGGCAGCCGCCGCGGACGGGACGAACGCGGGCAGCCGCCGCGGACGGGACTAACGCGGGCAACCGCCGAGGACGGGACGAACGCGGGCAGCAGCTGCGAACGGGACGAACGCGGGCAGCAGCCGCGGACGGGACGAAAGCGGGCAGCCGCGAACGCGACCAGACGGGGGAGTACACAGCTGCGGACAGCACGCAACTCATCACCACCACTGACCGCGCCGTCCCTCCGGACAGCGTCTCACCTCTAGCACCTCCACCCTCCCCTCCTCCCTCACTCGTTATGGCGGACGAACCTTCGTCGCTTGAGCTCGCCTCGATCGACAAACTCGAGCTCCTCAACGGCACCACCGCAGTCAATTGGGTGTCGTTTGAGGAGAGTCTCTTCACGTACCTTGGCTCCGTCCGAGTGGGAGATTATTGCCTTCTTGACGTCGTCCTCGAAACGTCTCACGGCCTCCCTCCCACCCCGCCCCCGCTCCCAGGCTCCTCCCCTCCTGACGCCCCACCACTCCCGACCGAACCCGCCCCTCAAACCCCCATCCTAGGGGCTTGGGAGGATGACCCAGACAGGTGGGCTCGCACCCTCAACAAGTACAACAAGGAGCGAGACGACTACGTCATCAAGGGCAGAGCACACACGGCTGCCGTCGCCGCCCACGAAGCTGCTACTGCAAAACTTGCAGAGTTCAAAGCCATCTCCGAAGCGTACTCTACTAACTTTCGTAAGCATCACTCCGATACTGCTGCATGGCGCATTGCTGACCGCCGTGCACTCACTGTCATCTTCTCGTGCGTTCCCCCCTCCCTTAAACGTGACCTTCGCCCTCCATCCTCCCCCTCTCTCTGGAAGTCTCTCTCCTCCCAATATGACCGTCAGGACTTACGCTCACTCCTCTCCCTCTTTCGCACCTTCCAAGACATCACCCTTGACTCCTCCCTCAATGCTGCCTCCTTCGCTCGGCGTCTCACGGACATTGCGCAACGCCTCAATGATCGAGGCATTTTGATCTCAGACACCCTTCTTACAGCACGCATCCTTGACTGCCTCCCACCCACCTATGACACCTACCGCATGAACTTCACCTCCCAGCACATTCGTCCCCCCCCTGTAGCTGTTACCATCGACTGGCTCCTTGACAGTGAGGCTGACCTCCTGCGTGACTCTGCAACGGTCAATGCTGTTCACGCTCGCTGTTGAGACCTATGGGGCAAACGCACCCCCCACAACGGCGTTCCTGAAGCTGCTGGCCACAGCAGCAGCTAGGAACCGCTTCAGGGCCAATCCCTTGGCGAAAACCGCCAAGAAAATGGCCTGCCACTTCAGCCAGCGCTGGTCAGTGGCCCTCCAGCGCTCTCAAGCGAATGCCCTGCACACCAAGGCCAGGGCAGGGATCGAGGCGGCGCACCCCCAGATGGCAGCAGACCCATGGCCGCTGCACCTGGGGGACATCCTCCACACACTGGAGGGGTAGAGGGTCACTGAGGGGGGGAGGAGGGTCAGAGGGATGGGCCAATGGGGCAGAGGGTCTAAAGGGAACCACAAATCAAACCGTATGCTTGTACCCCCGCTGAATTAATACAAAGGACCATTTGAGAGAGAGAGAGAGAGAGAGAGAGAGAGAGAGAGAGAGAGAGAGAGAGAGAGAGAGAGAGAGAGAGCGAGAGAGAGAGAGAGAGAGAGAGAGAGAGAAGCAAGGGACTTAGTCTTTTCCCTCCTAGGCTCTTCCCCTCTCTTCCCCAGCTATATAAGGGCCCCTTGGCCTTCTCTCCAGCTCATTCTTCATTTGGTGTCTCTGATTTTTCCGGTTCGTTCGAGAGAGCGAGAGAGAGAGAAGCAAGGGACTTAGTCTTTTCCCTCCTAGGCTCTTCCCCTCTCTTCCCCAGCTATATAAGGGCCCCTTGGCCTTCTCTCCAGCTCATTCTTCATTTGGTGTCTCTGATTTTTCCGGCGCTTCGCGCCGGCGCTCGCGGGTGCGGCCTGCGGCCGCGCGCTTGGGACGACAAGGACAATAACAAGGACGGCTAGATGACGGCAAAAATGACAACCATGGCAGACAACGACAACTAGACAAGCTACCATGGAACGGGTCTACACACGCGCGAGGGGGCCGCCTACATGCGGTCCGCCTCAAGCTCACCAAGCATTTCGCGCGTGGTCAGCCACATCTGGCGGACCACTGACGCGGTGGCGCCGACAACGTCAACAGGAGTTCCACGAGTTGCTACAAGGGTCCTCAGACCCAGGGCCGTCTCAGCCAGCAGGGTGGCCGAGACTACTCCCGGCGAGGGCGCGACCTGCAGTGGCGATACGAACGAGAATAATGCTGACGCCGCCGCGTGACACCTTGCTCGCGGCATCTGAGAGAACGTGCTCGGCGGGGTCTCCAACATGGAGCCATGCGACTCCTGGAGAATCAGCTCAAGACTCTGCAGGCACTCCGCCAACGACCACAAGTGCGCCAGGGTCGCCGTGGGCACTGGCTTCATCTGCGGGGGGAATGCAGACGCGCGAGATCGGCGAGCCGACACTGCCAGATCACGAGGAGCAGGGAGGGGACGTGGCGGAGCGAACTGGGCCCACGGGTCCCCGCCACCCGCGCCAACAAAGCCAGTCCCCGCAGGCAGCGGACGAGCTGAGCGCGCCGGGGATCCCACAGGATTATGGGGCAGGAGCGCGGCGAGAGGAGCGACTGGAGCAGCAGGAGGAGCAGATTGCGAGGACGACCCCGCATGGGAGCGGTGGAGAGCTTTCTCCACACCGTCCAATTTCTTCAGGACTTGCTCCATCGCGGAAGGCGCCGGACGCGCAGCCCCGCCGCGACCGTAACCCCCCCGTCGCCCACGATGCGCACGCCCACTCGCGCTCGAACGCACAGGCGACTGTGGGCGAGACAGGCCCCGCTGACGCTGGCGGTCAGAGGAACGCTCCGTGCGACGAGGAGAGTAGAGCCGCTGGCGCTTCGCAAGAGGGGGAGAACGTGGCGCCAAGGACCGATATCCAGACGCATGACGAGCAGGCGATCGCGGACGAGAGGAGCGGGGAGCGGGAGAACGGTGGCGATACGAGCGGTGGTCACGGGAACGGCTCCGTGACACCTTGCGCCGAGGAGATCGAGGAGACCGCGGTGATCGCGGAGACCGCGGCGGGCGCGAGTCAGCGCGACGGTCGTCGTGGCGGCTCTCCCGCCTACCGTCGTGGGCCACCGGCGAACGATGGCGAGGCGAATGCCCCCGGTGCGCCACAGCCTCTGCGCCGGAGCGCACGACGGACCCCACACGCGCAGGCTCCCCCAGAGGCAAGGATCCGCCTCCGAGCAGACCCAGATCCCGACGCTGATCCTCAAAGCGCCGACGGATCTCGTCCGCAGCCGCCGGCGGAGCAACAGGCACGCTCGCGGCAGGACGCGCGGGAGGAAGTGGACGGGGAGCAGGATCAACCTCCACGGCGCGGTCACAGCCCAGAGCACCGAGGAAGTCCATCGGCCTCCGCTCTAGGCGCGCCACTGGCCCGGGACGGGCCGATGACCCCGATCCCCCAGGCGCAACAGGCCGCACCAGTGGCCGCCACTCCGAGGAGCGGGCGGGGAAGCACGCGGGGAAGAGGCGGGCGTCGAGGAGCACGCGGAGTACAGCGCAGCGCAGGCCACGCAGCAAGGGGGAACCCCCGCCAGCCACCGAGCCCAATCTGGTTAGGGGAGCCGGCGGAACGAGTCACGCGCCAGTCGTTCGCCAGGCGCGGGGCGAGGGGTGGAAGGACAGCGCAAGCAGAGAGAAATGGCGATACAAATGCAGAGGGGAGTGGCGACGAATATGTACCGTCGGATCTGAGGCAACCCGACAATCCCGACTCACCCCGTGCGGGAGCAGGGGCGGAGCAGGCGCAGCTGCAGGAGAGAGGATTGGGCCGCCGACAGAACCGCAGACCCCAACCCCCCCCGGACCAGGCCCTCTCAGCATCCCAGCTGGCATCGAGGGACGATCTCTTTGAGATCGCGATGAGCTGGGACTTGTCTACCCTAACATCGTCCTCTCACCTGCCTATCGTCCGCCGCCTGCCGCCGCAGATCCTAAGCGACTATTCCACCTGTATGCTGGCAGCGCTCCTACGGATCTCCAAGCTGCCAAACTGCGCGGGAGCTTGGTGGGTCCTCATGTTTCTGCCACGTCTGACCCTACGACTTAGCAGGAGGTCCAGCTCTAGGTGGAAGGTGCTGCGAGAACAAATGCACCTATTCAGATGTGGCCACTGGAACCAGCTGTACAGTGACTACACGGGGTCCCTGCACCAAGCCGAACCACCTCAGCACCAAAATGACCCCCTGGGAATCTGCTCACGAGTGGAGGGGCTGGTGAAACGGGGTAACCTGCGAAAAGCACTTGCAGCCCTCCAACCCTCGCCAGCAGCCCCTGCGACAACCGCGACACTACAGCAGTTGGAATCGAAACATCCCCAACCCCAAATTGACCTGCCCGACTGGGTCCACACCTACACAACACCCACGCAATTTTCGTGCACCACGGAAAACTTCTCAAACGTTCTTGGGGATTGCCCCAGCGGTGTTGGGGCTGGTCCATCTGGGTCAACATTTGAACATTACCGCGACCCAGCCCTAAGTAACATCGAAGTACTAGGGCACCTGCACTCCGCCGTAACCCACCTCCTCTCGACAAACCTCTCCGCCGAGGTTGCAGCACTACTCTCGCCATCCCGCCTCATTGCATTCGCGAAACCAGGGGGGGGGGTACGCCCTATAGCGATAGGAGAATCCCTGCTCCGCCTGGCAGCAAAGGTTGCACTCTCAGAACTGCAAGGAGAAACAAGGCGATTTTTCTTACCCCAACAATTCGGCGTGGCAGTCCCAGGCGGGGCCGAGTTCGTTATCCACGCAGTCAGAGACCTCACCACTTCACATCCATCAAGCCTAGTCCTCCAACTCGACATCGAAAACGCATTCAACTCCGTAGAGAGGATAGCGTTCTTTAACGCACTCACCAACACCCCGCTCGCCCCACTCATTCCCTTCACACGCTCCTTCTATGCGACGCCTTCACAGCTGCTGACCGATCCCCGCTTAAGCACAACGGCACTCACCAGTGGTAGGGGAGTTAGGCAGGGGGACCCCCTTGGACCCCTTCTATTCGCGGCTTCAATCCAGCAGCACCTCAGACGCGTAGCAACAGAACACCCCGAAGTCACAGTCCTAGCATACGCAGATGACATCACCCTGATTGGACCGGCGACAGCAACGCTAGACGCACTAAAGGTACTGACACCGCTGCTAGCCCAGGACGGCCTCACCTGCAACCTCCGAAAATCGTCGGCCTGGTCCTCCTCGTGGATCGAAGGTAATGAGCTCCCTGAGGGCCTTCCCCTCACCCACGAGGGGGTACGGGTACCTCCCAGCAACCTCGGCGCTAGGGAGCAACAGCAACGCTCTACAGCCGTCGGCAGCACACTCGGTCACCATCCAAGACATGGAGGGACGACTGCCACCACTGGCACTGCAAATCCTCCGCGGGGAACAGGAATCCCCGTCCCAAGACCAGCTGCAGCGCGCCCTTTCCCAGGAAGTACATGCGGCAAAGGCCGACGGCCTGACAGAGGAATCACGCGCAATCAGGTCTGCCCCCGAGATGGGGCACACACTCCGCCTCGTCAGCCTGAGAGGTGAGGGAGCGGGGGCATGGCTGCAGGCCCTACCCCTAACCCCAGATCTCTGCTTTTCACCAGGGCAATTCCGAACAGCCCTGGCCTTCCGCATGGGCATCCGGCAGAACGTACCCACCGTGTGCGAATGTGGAGAGCTCGTAGCCGACTGCAGCCTCCCCAACCACTTACTCCGCTGCAGCACAGGCCCTGACCGAACACGCACACACAACCAGCTGGCTTTCGCCGTGGCTAAAATGGCGAGGGAGGCACAGCTGGTGGTATACCTGGAGAACGCGATGTACTCACCACCGGATGACCCGAAGAAGGCAGATGTGATTGTACGCGACCCAGACAGTGGTGAAACATGGATCACAGACACGACCATCACTGACCCCGTGCTACAGAACCGTGACCCAGCAGCCCGCAAACCCCCTGGATGGGCTGCAAGGGAGGCTCAGAAAAGGAAGGAACGGGACTACTACAGGCACACAGAACACGTGGTGTTCTGCGCCCTAGCCGTTGAGACCTATGGGGCAAACGCACCCCCCACGACGGCGTTCCTGAAGCTTCTGGCCACAGCAGCAGCTAGGAACCGCTTCAGGGCCAATCCCTTGGCGAAAACCGCCAAGAAAATGGCATGCCACTTCAGCCAGCGCTGGTCAGTGGCCCTCCAGCGCTCTCAAGCGAATGCCCTGCACACCAAGGCCAGGGCAGGGATCGAGGCGGCACACCCCCAGATGGCAGCAGACCCATGGCCGCTGCACCTGGGGGACATCCTCCACACGCTGGAGGGGTAGAGGGTCACTGAGGGGGGAGGAGGGTCAGAGGGATGGGCCAATGGGGCAGAGGGTCTAAAGGGAACCACAAATCAAACCGTATGCTTGTACCGCCGCTGAATTAATACAAAGGACCATTTGAGAGAGAGAGAGGCAGCTCTCCCCCCAGAGGCTCTCGAGGTGCTCCAGGCCGGGAAGGCAGACCCCAAGGGACTGAAGCTGCAGCAGAGCCTAGCGCTGGCGGTTCACTCCCACCGCTTCTTGAGAGTCATGCGCGAGGCAAGGCGGATGCGCCCCAACCCCCGTTCTGGCCACGCGCAAAGGATGCAGTCAGTGCTAGGCCCAGGCGCGGGGGACTGGCTGCTGGCGATCCCGCTCATCCCCTCGCTACGGATGGGCCCATCCCAGCTCTCTACTGCAGCTGCCTTCCGCCTAGGCCTTCCCCTCCCCGTGCCCAGACGCTGTGACTGCCGCTACCGCACCACCTTCCCTGACGATCGCCTCCCCAACCACCTCATGCGCTGCGAGAAGGGGAAAGGGAGGACCGCAACCCATCACGCACTGCGGGATGAGATTGCGAACATAGGGGTTGAGGCGGGGTTTACGGTTCACAAGGAGACGTATGTCTACTCTCTGGTTGAAAACCTAAAGGCGGATGTCTCTGACCCGGTGTCTGGAGAGGTTTGGATGTGCGACGTGACCGTGACGGACCCGGTGTCTTACCAGGACGAGAACTGCAACCGAGCTCCTGGATGGGCGGCTAGGGCGGCAGCGGCGAAAAAGGAGGAGAAGTACGCCCGTCGGAACGCGTGGGTGGGGTTCCACGCGCTTGCAGTAGAAACGGCTACCCCTCGCCAGGGGTGATGGCTTACTTGCGGCAATGCGCGGAGCTGGCGGCGAAGCTGCGGTTTAACGCAGCACCTACCTCCTACGAAGCAGCGAAGCTGCTGACGGAGTACCGCCAGCGCTGGAGTGTGTGCCTCCAGCGGTCGCAGGCCAACGCCATCCGCACCAAGACCAATGAGGCCTTGGCGGCGGACGAGCTCGGCTTTCGGGGCCCCACCATCCCTCTCAGTGAGGGACAGCTGCACCAGTTGATCGAGGCCCCTTTCGACCAGTAGGGTCGGACAAGGGGGGGGGGCGGAGTAGGTGGGGGACTTGGAGGGGATAGGATTCCGGTTTGTGTGTTTGTTTATGCTTTGTGTTTGCATCTTCCCTTGTACCACCCCATATGAAATACAAGGACCATTCGAGAGAGAGAGATGGTTGTTGGAGGGTAGAAGAGGTGGACAAGGGCTCGCTTCACACATTCCCTGAGACGCCCTGTATTTAGCTTGATTTAAAGCACTCAGATTCTATCAACTGCGGGGCAGGGGAGAGATGGTTGGTGCCAATGGTATTGGGCGAGAAAAGTGGATGGAAGGGAAGAGGAGCAATGGGGCATATAGAGGAGGGGTATTGGGCAGAATCATTGGGAGAGGGAGACGAGGGAGGTGTGGACGTTTGGAGGAAGGGTTGTGATTTATGAAGGAAGGGAAACCACAGTAATGAAAGGACGGCTGTACACGAGATATGGGCCCTTGAGTTGAGATTGTTGCTTTAAGCACTCACTGTGAGGGAGCGGGTCTTTTCTCCCAGTGTGATGCTCTCCTGTAGCGGTTCCCCCACCCCTTTGCCATCCAGCGAACTCAGCTTCCTGGTGGCATGTGGGGCAGGCAGGGATGGGAGAGATGGGGGGGAATGCGGGTGATGGATGGCATGGCTGCTCAAGACGATGGAAGAGTGAGTGTGTGTGAGAAGCATATTTTTCTCGTTCCTCTATGGGCATCAGAGCCGCCACTCGTCGTTGTTGTGTAGGAGCTGTGCGCCACTCGCCACTCGCCACGCGCCACACCAAAACGTGACCCTCTCCATGCATGCATCACCTGTGCTACAGTGCCCTCACCTGTGCTACAATGCCATCACCTGTGCTACAGTGCCCTCACCTGTGCTACAGTGTCCTCGCATGTGCTACAGTGCCATCACCTGTGCTACAGTGCCCTCACCTGTGCTACAGTGCCATCACCTGTGCTACAATGCCCTCACCTGTGCTACAGTGCCCTCACCTGTGCTACAGTGCCCTCACCTGTGCTACAGTGCCCTCACCTGTGAAGCATGACCTCTAACTGGCCAGATTCCAGGCTGGCAGCGCCCGCCGCCCGATCCACAAGCACCAACAACTGGGCTGCTTTGTCTTTTATGAAAGCTCCAACCGTTATCTGAAGTGGAGTGCAAGGAGTCGAGGAGAGAGAAGCGGATGAGGCAAGGAGGTGATATTTTCCTGCCAATCCAGGACGGCTCGTTTTGTACTCTGGTTGACTTGCCAATGCTACTTCTTCAATGGTAAACAGACAGGACCGCTCCTGACCGAGGCCATTTTTCATGGATTGCCTCCGGCTCACTCTGGTTGACTTGTGTTGACTCACCGGATAGTAGTTCCCTGCTATGGGGTCGCTGACGTTAAGGCTCCAGTCAGACCGATAGTCCACCACCTGAATGCGGAGTGGTGGGTATGATGGGGATGGTGGGGATGGTGGGGATGATTGAGTTTCCAGGCACCAGCAAGGACTATGTTCACTCATTTTTAAACAAAATCCCCTCACCCGCTTGAGGTAGGTGCGGCCATTGGAGTCGGAATAAAAGGTCCTGCTGCTGTTGATGGGCGCTGTGATGCGAGCCACCACCTCGTGGCTGGGACTCTTGGAGGGCAGCGGACCCACCTGGGCAGCACATGCATGCACGCACGCACGCACGCACGCACGCACGCACGCACGCACGCACGCACACACACACACACACACACACACACACACACACGCGCATGCACAGCAATGAACATGAACAGAAGGGCTCATGTGAACGAGCAGCACATGCGATTTCAAGTGCCTCAGAAGCTGTTGATGGGAGAAGAGAAGCGAGTCAACACCTCGTGGTTGCGACCCTGGTAGGGCAGGGGACCGACCTGGCCTGGGCAACGTCTTTTGAATCTACTGATTAATCGGTTCTTGAGGGAATTCTCGAAACCAGAGCGTGCAGAAATCATAGAGCACTCACGGAATAGTGCAGCTCAGCGTAGTCCTGCCCTGGATACACTCTGAACACCTGGGAGTTGGGAGCGGTGCAGAACGGCAGAGACCAAAGGAGTGGGGGGGTGCAGAGTGGTAAGTTGCCACAGGGAAACAGTGAGGCAGCAGAAGCATGATGCACTGGGTATGGCAAGGTAATCAAAAGGCAATCCATTTATGCAGCAATTGCGGGTTTCTTTTTCTCAAAAGCTCCCTGCATACTCAAGGAGGAGGAGGAGGAGGAGGAGGAGGAGGAGGAGGAGGAGGAGGAGGAGGAGGAGGAGGAGGAGGAGGAGGAGGAGGAGGAGGAGGAGGAGGAGATAGAGGAGGAGGAGGAGGAGGAGGAGATAGAGGAGGAGGAGGAGGAGGAGGAGATAGAGGAGGAGGAGATAGAGGAGGTGAAGGAGATAGAGGAGGTGAAGGAGATAGAGGAGGTGAAGGAGATAGAGGAGGTGAAGGAGATAGAAGAGGTGAAGGAGATAGAGGAGGAGGAGGAGATAGAGGAGGTGAAGGAGATAGAGGAGGTGAAGGAGATAGAGGAGGTGAAGGAGATAGAGGAGGTGAAGGAGATAGAGGAGGTGAAGGAGATAGAGGAGGTGAAGGAGATAGAGGAGGTGAAGGAGATAGAGGAGATGAAGGAGATAGAGGAGATAGAGGAGGTGAAGGAGATAGAGGAGATAGAGGAGGAGATAGAGGAGGTGAAGGAGATAGAGGAGGAGATAGAGGAGAAGGAAGTGCACTCACCTCAGAGATCCATGGAGTGACCTGGCGGCTGAACTCCTCCACGATTGGTCCATGCTGGATGTGAATGGGCACCTGGTGCAACGTCAGCAGCGCAGCAAGGGGAGAGCAGAACAGAAAGCTCTGCCAATCAGAGTCTTGCTGCAGCTGAAATGCGGCTTTACTCCTCCCACCCACCCCACCCATCGGAAGGCACTTCACAGTGGAGGCACAGACGCCACCACGTGGTACACAGGCCATGGCACGTTAGCTGTACAATATACTAGGCTTGGAGTTTTTAAATATACAGGCAATACAAGAAGCATGTTGCATCTTGTTGCTTGTTGCGACCCAACCACCCACCCACTGACCTGGCCTTTGGCGTTGTCACATTTCAGTCGACTCAAAAGTCACCTAGTTGCTGCGTTGCAGTGGTTTTTTTGACCCTGACCCACCCACTGACTTACCTGGTGGGTGGCAGGCACTGGTGATGGGAGCGGCTGGCTTGGAGAGCTGGAAGATGCATGCACCTCCTGTGACTTGAATGACTCAAGGCACTGGGAGTCACTTTTGAGAATTCTCATAAGTAACGGAGGGCTGGTAGATGTATGCGCCTCCTGTGACTTGAATGACTCAAGGCACTGGTTCTACCAGTGGAGTACGAGAGGCATGCTGCATGCATCTTATCTTGGTGCTTGTTGCGACCCACACCTCCACTGTCTGACCTGGTAGGTGGCGTTAGTGATGGTGATGTGTGCGGCTGGCTTGGAGGGTTGGAAGATGTATGCGCCGCCAGCGAATGTTGCATACTCCATCATGCTGGCGCTCACTGGCACGGCCATGCGCTGCCATGGTGTGTGGCATGGGGTGGAGTGGAGTGGCATGGTGCGGCACGGTGTGGCATGGTGTGGCATGGCATGGCGTGGCGTGGCATGGTGGGGCGTGGCATTGTATTGCATGGCATGGCATGGCAGGCGTGACGTGGTGTGGCGTCATGCGCAAGGGTATGGTATGCATAGCAGATGACAGGGCATGCAACATGACGAGTGCACAGGGTATGTGACAGTAGGAGTGCACAAGACATCATCAGCACACATCTTTATGAAGCTGGGACAGAAAGCGTTTCACATACTGCACGCACAGGTTGCACAGTGTGACTGCACCGTGTTATACAAGTTACAAAATAAAAAAGGGCATGCAGCAAGTTACCAAGTTACCAACTTGATCCTTGCGTGCTGATTTTGAGAACTGGATTGGATTTCATCATGGCGCCAGTCTCTTCCCCTCAATAACACTCATCACCGTCTCATCACCTACCCCCAACTCTTTCTCCTCAGTGCCACACCACACCACTCACCACAATCTCCCCAGTGCCATTCGCGCTCCAAGAGACCAGCTCCATCCGCTGCAAGCCCACCGCTGACTTGGAGAACGAGACGCGCAACGCCGCCTGTTCCCCACCGTCCCTGTCGGCACCAGCAGCACCACTACCACGAGGCCCCCCCACACCTTGCCACCCTCCCAGCACAACGGTATCACCCCCTTCCAGCCCCCTCCCTCCCCCTCCCCCTGCACCTCCTTCTCCCCCACCTATCTTGCCCTCCTCCATTCCCCCACCGCCCTGCAACCCTCTCCTGCTTCCTCTCCCCCTGCTCCCTGCCTCCCTCCCTTTCCTTTCTCCACCGTTCGTCTCTCCCTCCTGTCCACCGCTCACCACCATCCTCCGCCCTCTCGTCTTCCTCCCCCTCCCCGCCTTGCCGGGTTGCTTCTCGGCTGCCCCTGCCTGGGCTGCTGCAGCTTCTGTCTGGGCTGATGCTGCTTCAGATGCTGATGCCGCTGCTGCTGCTGCTGCTGCTGCTGCTGCTGTCTCAGTCGGCAGTGCTGCCACAGACTGTGCTGCTGCTCCTGCAGCTGCCCCTAGCGTTGCTGCTGCAGCATCAACCGTGTTGCTCCATGCAGCACTCTCGTACGCCCTGCCAGGTGTGTCTGAATGAGGGGCAGGCGTGGAAGGAATTGTGATAGGCAAGTGAGCAGGGGTGCTGAGTGGTTTGCAGGGGTGCTGTGGTGTGACACGAAGCACACACGTAGTATGCACCGCTTGCCCTGTGTGCATGTGCTTGTCTGCATGCAACGTACCTTGGGCATACTATCCTTTTCAGTGCGCTGTATATCACAGCTTCGGTACCTAAGCTTCAGATTTGCTGCTCTTCCGCCATGAGTAGCAAATCTGAGTGAAGGCCCTTTGAGATGGGCGAGACAGCATACCTGACTGATGATAGGTGCTGTACCTTGGCTTGCTGGCGAGACAAAGAAGGTGGCATATCCAAGAGGAGGCACCTCGGCATTGAACACAAGCGACAGCACTGCCTGCTGCTGCTGCTGCTGCTGCTGCTGCTGCTGCTGCTGCTGCTGCTGCTGCTCTCTCTCCTTCTGCGCTCCCTTCCGCTGCTCCCCCTCCTTCTTGTCCCCCTCCTTCTGCTCCCCATCCTTTTGCTCTCCCTCCTTCTGCTCTACTCCCGTCTGCTCCTTAGTCTGCCTTTCCCGATGCTTCATTTTCTGCTTTTGGCTCGGCTGTGGCCCTCGCCCATCCCCATAATCCTTCCACTCCTCCTCCTCCTCCACCCCCTCCCCTCCCTCCTCCTCCCCCTCCTCCCCCTCCTCCCCTCCCTCCTCCCCTCCCTCTTCCCCTCTCCCCCCCCCTTCCTCCCCTTCCTCCTCCCCCTCCACCTCTCCTACGATGCCCCCCACGCCAGTGTAAGCAGCAATGTAGGTGGAGCGGGTGGAGGGGGAGAGGAGAGTCTCCCTGAGAATTTGAGAGGGAATGGGGGCGCCAGAGGCGTCAGTGACTAGGAGGGAGGGGGATGACACCTGTCAAAGAGAGCAATAGGAGAGAAAAAGAGGGGGGAGATGGGGAGGGGGAGGGGGGATTTATAAGCCCCAATGTGAGTGGACCGGATGGAAACATAAGACGAGTGTCTCCTTGAGCAATGCAGGGGCAGGGACAGGGGCAGGGGCAGGCAACGAATGTGCTACGTAGTAATGCTGTGGCACCAGTGCTGGTGGCGATTCAAGTGCTGATGCGAGGCAAGGTGGATGAACTAACTGACAGCATTGTGGCGCGTTGCACCCATACCGGGAATCGAATCACTTCAGAGCGGGACCATGCGAGAGGGTTGAAGGCCACCACCACCTGTGGGGTGGGTATGGATGGGAAAGGTGGAGACGTGTGGGCGGATGGAGCATGGATGAGAAGCTTCTGAGAACTCCCTAGAGCGACTTAGGTCTTGCGGTATGGTTGGGAAACATGGAGACATGCGGTGGGAATGGAAGTGAAAGCGAGAGATGGGGACGGAGGTGGGTAAGAAGGTGGATGGCGGTGGGTGAGAAGGTGGATGGAGGTGAGAGGTAGGGACGGATGTGAGAGGTGAATGAGAGAAGCAAGCGAAGGAGATGGGGAAACGCGCAGTGGAACGGAGGGAAAGCAAAGATACGCAGGTCAGTGAGTATTGAGTTGAATTTATATGACTGGGCGGGTGAATGCTTCACTCACGGTGCTGTATGGGATGGGATGAGTGTGGCATGGCATTTGAAACAGCATGCAGGGTACGTACCAGGGTCTGATCTGGCTGCAGGGGTGTTTCGGATGGAGGGCAGTAGGAGATGTTGAGAAGAGGGCACTGTGGAGGGTGGGGGAAGGAGGGTAGTTGGAATGCAGGGATGAGAGGGGAGAAAGAGGGAGGGGAGAAAGAGGGAGGGGAGAAAGAGGGAGGGGAGATGAGTGGATGGAGGGCGAGATGGAAGCGACACAGGTGGGCAGCAGTAGCATTGTGACACAGATGTGCATCACATCACACCATCACATCATCATCATCATCACACCACCACATCATTACACCAAACCACCACCACCACCATCATCATCACACCACATCAACATCATCACACACCATTTTCAGGTCCAGTGAAGGCAGCTGCTGTCCTCCACCCTCTGCTTTGGCACCCTCACTCAGCTGCACCCACCTCCTCCTCCCCCTGCTGCCGTGCTCCCCTACCACCTCCTGCCCTCTCCTCTCATCAGGCCGTGTGCCGTCACCAGCAGAGTTTGCATTGGCTCCACCAGACCCAGTCACCTTCCCAGCAGCACCGCTCTGAACCACTTCACGGTCAGCCGCACCGTGCTGGACCGCTAGAGGATCAGCTGGCTGCAACGCCTGAGGGTCAAACACCTCGTTGGGGTCACTTGTTGTCTCCTCCTCCTTGTGAGGGTCTCTCTTCACACGGGACTTTTTTTTAGTCGACTCAAAGATTGTCTCCTCTGTCGCGTGAGGGACTCTCTTCACACGGGACCTTGCAGCACGCTGCCTACCATCTCCCTCACCTGCTTCCCCATCCCCCTCATCCTCGTCATCCGCTGCCCCTGCTCTGTCTGCCTCATATAATAACTCATTCATCTTGTCTATTTTGTCTGCCTTACCTTCCTCATCCCCCTCATCCCCATCGTCCTCCTCATCCCCCTCATCTGCCCCATCTGCTGCCTGGTTCCAGAACCCCCATCCACGCTGCAAGTCGCTGTCCTCCCTGAACGTGAACTCCACGGCAGCCCGCGAGGAGAAGGAGAGGTTGGATGGAGAGGAAGGTACGGATGGGGATGGGATGGAGCCTTTCATGATGAGGTGCGCCAGTGCTGCCGTGAGCACAGCTGATGCCTGCAGGGGCAGTGGATGGGATGGGGAATGGGAGGTTGGGAGGGGGATTAAGAGCGGCCATCTGGACTGGACCATATGGTTTCAGTCTCCAGAGCCCCCACCTGCGCTGCAATTCGGCGCTCCAGAGCTCCAGAGCAGCTGCCCGCGAGGAGAGGTTGGAGGAGAGGTTGGAGGAGAGGTTGGAAGAGAGGTTGGAGGAGAGGTTGAATGGAGGTACGGATGGGGTTGGGGGCATGGTGCCTCGGGTGATGAGGTGCGCCAGTGCTGCTGTGAGCACAGCAGATGCCAGCATGGGAATTGGGTTAGAACAGGGATTGGGAGGTTGAGAGCGGCCATCTGAACCATTTGACTCAGTGCCCCCACCCGCGCTACCCGCAATGAGGGGTTGGAGGAGAGGTTGGATGGAGGCATGGATGGAGGCATGGATGGGGTCGGGGGCATGGTGCCTCGGGTGATGAGGTGCATGAGTGCTGCTGTGGGCACAGCAGATGCCTGCATGCACGGCATGTGCATTGGGTGGGATGGGGAGAGGGAGATGGGATCATGGGAAGATGAGAGAGGCCACCTGAACCATCTGGTCCCATGATCCCATCTCCCATGATCTCATCCGAAGGAGGACCTGCGCTGCCCTTCAGGGTCCTCCTTGAAAGTGAAACCCACGGCTGCCCGCGAGGAGAAGGAGAGGTTGGATGGAGATACGGATGGAAATGATTAGGTGTGTGGAGTGTCTGGTGGCAGGGCAAAGGCGCCACGCGTGATGAGGCACGCCAGTACTGCTGTGAGCACAGCTGATGCCTGCACGGGTGGTGCGTGGGGATATATAATGGGAGGTTGTGAGGTCGGGCGGTTAGAAGCAGCCTCTACCCACTCATACGAGCAGTCTATTACCATACACGCAGCACCAAGCCCTTTAAGACTCGCACCTCCACTGCAGCGCGGTGAGTGAAGTCTGGCAGAGTAGTCATCAGTGACGTGCTGCGGTGCCGTGCCTGTGACGCCGTCATGGTGCTGCACCACTGCCACCGCCTCCTCCAGCCAGCCCACATGCCATGAACTTAGGGGATTAACTTCTACCCGTGCAACACTCACCTCTACGGCAGCGCGGTGCAGCCTAATGGAGTAGTCATCGGTGAAATGCTGCTGCACTGTGCGTGTGATGCCATCATGCTGCTGCACCACTACCTCTGCCTCCTCCAGCCCATGCCATGCACTCACAGGAGCAGCCTCTACTCCACCCACTCAAGCCCTTTCAGAACCCTCACCTCCTCAGCAGCGCGGTGCAGCCTAATGGAATAATCGTCAGTAACGTGCTGCTGGGCCGTGCCTGTGATGCCATCATGGTGCTGCACCACTGCCACTGCCTCCTCCAGCCGGAACGAGCTCGCCACTCGCACCCGCCGCTCGCCCTCCCACCCCACCTTCATCCCCTCTACCCCTCTCGCACTCTCCACCCCACTCTCCCTCCCATCCGCCTGCTTCTCCTCCTCCTGGCTGTCTCTGGTCGTCTTTCCCATGTGTGGGTCAAGCACAAGGTGCTCCAGTACCACCATGCGCCCCGTCGCCATGCCCCATGCCTGTAGTGCTTGCTTTCCCACTGCTACCTCTGCTGCTGTGGTGGCCTGAGGGGGAAGGGGGAAAGGGAAGGGAGAGCAGGGAATGCACAATGTAATGCTGTTGGGTGAGAAAGGACAGCTTAGCCCACTACTTGTCCTCACTGATTTTGCCCCTTCCCTTCTACCTCCTCCCTACCCAAACCCCCCATTGCGGGTCCAGCACAAAGTGTTCGAGCACCACCATATGATCAGTCGCCATGCCCCATGCCTGTAGGGCTTGCTTTCCCACTGCTGCGACTTTTGTGTTGACTCGCAAGTTGTTTGGGGGACGCGATCGCATGATGTGAGATGAGACAGGCAAGCTAAGCCATCACATTGCACACACATCACATCGCAACGCATCACATCACATCACATCACATCACGTCACGTCACGTCACGTCACGTCACGTCACGTCACGTCACGTCACGTCAAGTCAAGTCACGTCACGTCACGTCACGTCACGTCACGTCACGTCACATCACATCACATCACATCACACCACACCACACCACATCCCATCCCATCCCATCCCATCCCATCCCATCCCATCCCATCCCATCCCATCCGATCCCATCCCATCCCATCCCATCCCATCCCATCACATCACATCACATCACATCCCATCCCATTCCACCACATCCCACCCCACCACACCACACCACAAGAGGCAGGTTCAGAGGGCGGGGAGCGCACCAGCAGCAGGGAGCTGCAGGAGTGGGCAAAAGAGGGGAGTAAGCCCTGATGGGACATCCCATCCCATCCCATCCCACCCCAAACAACCTCATCCTATTCCACCCCACCCCACCCCACCACACCACATCACAAGAGTGGGTTCAGGGGGCAGAGGGCAGGCAGAGCACCAGCAGCAGCGCGCTGCAGGAGCGGGCGAGGAGCTTCAGAGATGGGCGGCTGCTGAAGTAGCCCGACCAGTAGGGCCCACTGTCCTGATAGCTGGGGTGAGGGGCACACGCATGGGGGTGGAGAGGGGGAAGGGGGGGAGAAAGGGGGGGAGGGGGGAGGGTGCGGGGGTTAGGGTATGTGGGAACTCTATGCGGAATATGGTTCCTTTGTGAAGTAGCCAGACCAGAAGGGACCAGAATGGTTCCCTTGAGAATTGTCCTCATAGCTGGGGAGATGGGCGCATGCATGGGCGGAAGGAAGGGGGGGAGAAGTGGGGGGAAGGGGGAGGGATGTGAGAATTATACAGGGAGAATGGATCCTCATGTGCAGTAGCCCAGACAGACCAATAGGTGGCAGCACCACCTGAACAGCTGAGATTAGGGATGAGCAAGGGGCGAACACGATCGCCCCTAGACGAACACATCCGTTTGCCGAACCGAACACTGTTCGGTTCGGCGAACACTTTAAGCAAAAACACGTGTTCGCCGTTCGCCTGTGAAGGCATGTTCGGGCGAACATCGAACACGTTCGTGTTCGTCGCGGGGCAAATTGCAGCAGCGGCCCGAACACGAACGTGTTCGGGCGAACATCGAACACTGTTCGGCGAACATCGAACACTGTTCGGCGAACAATTTAAGCAAAAAAAACAAACCTGTTCGGTTCGCCTCGAACGCGAACCGAACAGGTGTTCGCCCTTGTGCTCATGTCTAGCTGAGATGAGATGAGGGACGGATGGATGAGATTGCATGGGTGGCTGACACGTGGCATGGATGGGAGAGGGGGAATGTGAGAAGCCTATGCAGACAGGGTGCTCCTGTGCAGTAGCCCGACCCGACCAGTAGGAGAAGGCGTGATCCAAATAGCTGGAGTGAGGGACGAATAGGTAGAGAGGAAGAGAGAGAAAGGGGGGTAGAGGGAAAGGGGCGGGGGAAGTGAGGGGGTTGGGTGGAGGGGTACGTGAGAGAGAATCAAGAGAATGGGTTCTCAAGACAATGGGTTCTCTTGGGCCATGGCCCAGCACGTCCATTCCAGTGGGACTTGCTGTGCCGTCCTGTGCATAGCTGGGCTGGGGTGAGAGGCGCTTTGGCGGAGAGGGGCAGAGATTTGGAGAGAGAAGGGGAAGGGCGGGGGGGAAGGTTGAGAGACCGGGAGTGGCGTGATGGGTGAGGGATAGGGACTTCGTTATGGGTTTTATTCGAATGGATGCAGTGTGGGGAGTGTGAGTGGGCATGGATGGGTGCGGGCGGGAGGGAATGGTTGCTTACAGGGGTGAACTGACAGTTGTGATGAGTGACTCACGGGAACATGTCACCAGTCTTGAGAGGCCACGTGGCATTGGCAGAGTGGAGTGCGTCCAGATACATGGATGGCGTGGAATAGAGCGCGTTCACCCTCCCATCCTGTAACGTGGTTACAGAGTCACATGATTACATGGTTACACGATTACACATTTATGCAATATGTGGGAATCAACTGCGAGTGTGATGTGAAGTTAACAACTGTGTGTCTGCTTTTTGTAAACAGATTGTGTAACTGTACGGGTGTTAAGGAGACACACACTCAAATCAGGGATACTGCCGGCCAATGAAAAGGGCATAGTTTCTGCTAAAAAAAAAAAATGTAAGCTCACTGGGATCTCACAACATAAGCTCTTTATATTCTTGAATCGCATGCAGACAACCGATCAATGACATCACATGCAATCCCATCCATTGCCATCCGTGCCATGCCATGTCAAGCACCCAGCAACCCACCGAGTGTGCAGCAAACCACCCGACAAGCACCCAGCAGCAACTGATCGGGATGACGTAGTGAACCCCAAGATGGTATCCCATGCTACGCTATCCCGTCGAATGTCATGCCGTGTAATGCTACGCCATGCCATGCCATGCCAAGCATCAAGCAATTGACCAGGTTGATGTGGTGAAAGAGCTTGTCCATGTTCTAACCACGAGATGGCATCCCATGCTATGCCATCCCAACCCATGCCATGCCACGCACCAGCGACCCAGCCAGCATGATGTAGCACCCATACCATGCCAAGCACCCAGCGACCCACCCAGCATGATGTAGCACCCATACCATGCCAAGCACCCAGCAACCCACCCAGCATCCAGCGACCCACCAAGCACCCAGCGAGCAACTGACCAGGTTGACGTAGTGAATGAGCTTGTCCATGTTCTTGAACCACGAGATGGCGCGGTCAAACGCAAAGTCCTCGCCCATGGGGAACAGCAGGTGGTTCGTCTTGAAGCCCTCCGCCTGCTTGGCAGTTTGGGAGAGAGTAAGTTGCAGAAGAAGCAGCAAGGGCATGAGTGAGTGAATGATTGGGTGAGTGAGCAAGGTAAATTCCTCGCCCATGGGAAGCAGCAGGTGATTCGCGTCCTCGGGAGAATGTGTGGGAGAGAGTGAGGTGCAGAGGATGCAACGAGTGAAGGGTGGCTGGTTGAACGGGAAGTCCTTGCTCGTAGGGAAGTCCTTGCTCATAGGGCAGTCCTTGCTCATAGGGCAGTCCTTGCTCATAGGGAAGTCCTTGCTCATAGGGCAGTCCTTGCTCATAGGGCAGTCCTTGCTCATAGGGCAGTCCTTGCTCATAGGGCAGTCCTTGCTCATAGGGCAGTCCTTGCTCATAGGGCAGTCCTTGCTCATAGGGAACAGCAGATCTTCAACCCATGAGACGAGAACCGTGGAGAGCAAGGGGGGAGGCAGCGAGAGGAAGAAGGGGTTTTGAGAGGGTTTTGCAGGTGTAAGACGCTGTGGATGGTACAGAGGTGGGCCAATCACGCACACCAGGGAACCTAGAAGACTTGAAGGACCCATGCAAGTACCAAGAAACATGAAAAAAAAAGAAGGCGACTAACATTGCGCACTCAATCAGTCACGTCACTCATATGTCAAACCATGAGCTCTTCAGCATGATTGGCACGCATATCTACTGTGCAAGTGCACTTGAAGCACAGTCCAAGTGCCACTCACTCTCGGTGTCAAAACTTTCACGATGTCTCAAAGCACACTCCAAGTGCCACTCACCCTCGGTGTCACTTCTGCAACAAACTCTTCCGTGAGGCGCTGCACGTTCGTTTTTTAGTCAACTCAAAAAACATGTACTGTGCAAGAACACTTGAAGGCACAAGCGCCACTCACCCTCTTGGTCCCTTCCGCTACAAACTCGTCCACCAGGCGCTGCATGTTGATGTTCGAGTGGACTCAAAAGACATGCACTGTGCAAGAACACTGGAAGGCGCAGTCCAAACGCCACTCACCCTCTTGCTCACTTCCGCTACAAACTCGTCCACGAGGCGCTGCACGTTGGGCGACCCCCCATAGGGATTATCCTGACCAGGGGGCGAGGGCAGAGCGGAGATGGAAGAGCAGATCGGGCAATGGAAGAGCAGAGGGCGTGGGGGGCCTGCGGGGGTGCGACATGGCAGGAAGGGGGGAGTTACGCTTGCAGAGTGAAATGGGGATGTCAGCAGTAAGGGGATTCAGCACGCACACGACCAGGGTTTAGCCGAAAGTGATCAGCCGAAACAATGAGTGGTGAAAGGCATGGTGCTGACAGGCATGGTGAAAGGCATGGTGCTGACAGGCATGGTGAAAGGCATGGTGGAAGGCATGGTGGAAGGCATGGTGGAAGGCATGGTGAGAGACGTCTCAAAAACACTCTTTATCACGTGCCTACAGGAGAGGTGCACACATGAAGCATGCTTGACCATTGTGGTGGAGCAGAGGGGCGAGTGCCTTGCAGCAGAGGGGCGAGTGCCTTGCAGCAGAGGGGCAAGTGCCTTGCAGCAGAGGGGCAAGTGCCTTGCAGCAGAGGGGCGAGTGCCGAGCAGCAGAGGAGCGAGTGCCGAGCAGCAGAGGGGCGAGTGCAGAGCAGCAGAGGGGCGAGTGCAGAGCAGCAGCAGGGCGAGTGCAGAGCAGCAGAGGAGCGAGTGCAGAGCAGCAGAGGGGCGAGTGCAGAGCAGCAGCGGGGAAAGCGCAGAGCAGCAGAGGGGTGAGTGCAGAGCAGCAGCAGGGCGAGTGCAGAGCAGCTGAGGGGTGAGTGCAGAGCAGCAGAGGGGTGAGTGCAGAGCAGCAGAGGGGTGAGTGCAGAGCAGCAGAGGGATGAGTGCAGAGCAGCAGAGGGGTGAGTGCAGAGCAGCAGAGGGGCGAGTGCAGAGCAGCAGAGGGGCGAGTGCAGAGCAGCAGAGGGGCGAGTGCAGAGCAGCAGAGGGGAGAGTGCAGAGCAGCAGCGGGGCGAGTGCAGAGCAGCAGCAGGGTGAGTGCAGAGCAGCAGAGGGGCGAGTGCAGAGCAGCAGAGGGGCGAGTGCAGAGCAGCAGAGGGGCGAGTGCAGAGCAGCAGAGGGGCGAGTGCAGAGCAGCAGAGGGGTGAGTGCAGAGCAGCAGAGGGGTGAGTGCAGAGCAGCAGAGGGGTGAGTGCAGAGCGACTGGATGCAGAGCAGCAAAGGGAGCAAGGGAGTACCTGAATGTGGTAGGTAGGATCGTCCGAGTCCTGGTAGCGGAACTGCGAGGGCGAGTAGTAGCCGTCATAGGATACCATTCCCAGCACCTGGGGGAGGGGGTTGGAGAGGGGTGGAGGGACAGGGGTGGCGAGGGGAGTGGTTCGTAGGATCGTCTGTTTCTTGGTAGCGGAACTGTGAGGGCGAGTAGTAGCCGTCGTAGGAGACCATTCCCAGCACCTGGGGGAGGGGTTGGGATGAGTGGATAAGTGGAGTGGCAGCAGGAGAGAGAGAAATTGAGAAAAATCGAGGGTGAGCGACTGGAGAGAAGACCATTCTCCCAGCACAGCACCTGGCAGGGGGGTTTGGGAGGAGAGGTTGAACGGCATGGGGTGACACGACGTGGAGGGAAAGAGGTGGAGAAGGAGATTAGATGGCGAACTTGGTGTAATCAACCTAACTGAAAGGAACTCACCTGGCTGTCCTTCCGACGCCCCTTGCCGCCTGCGACACTAACTGTAGTGCCCTGGCGGTCATGTAAGCCTAATTCTCCTGTTCAATCCACGGCAGCACATGCTACCATACCTCTCATCTCAGCAGCATACCCCACCACACACCTCGTTGTCTCCCTCTCGTTCCGTACCACCTGCCTGCCACATGAATTGCCTTTCCTGGCGGTCATGCGATCCTGCTTCTCTTCTCCTGTTTAGTCCCCAGCAGAACACACACACACCGTACCATTCGCTCAGCCTCACGCACCTACTACCTCTCAGCCTCACGCACCTACTACCTCTCAGCAGCATCACATGCGGCCCACCTGGTTGTCCCTCTGCCTTGGCCCCTCGGCGCGCCACACAAACTCCATTGTTTTGGCGGCCAAGCGGGTCACCTTCTCCTGCTGGTCCACCCTCCCCAGGAACACCGCTTCTAGCCCCGCCTGGTGGAGAGATGCGAGTGGAGAGTGGTTGTGGGGTTGGGGGGAAAGAAGGAGGGAAAGCGGGGTGGAAGGGGAAGGGGATGAAACGGGAAGGACCGTGCTTCTCCTGCTTGTTCGCTATCCCTATGGATACTGCGTCTGGGCCCGACTGTTGGAGATGTGTGTGGGAAGGGAGAGGGAGGGGCGCAGAAAACGGGATGGGGGAGGGAACGAGGGCGTTGGTTTGACGGGAAGGGGGGGGGAGGGGGCGGCTTCTCCTGCTTGTCCACCCTCCCTGTGAAAAGCTCGACCAACCCCAACTGATTGAGACGTGGGATGGGGGCATTGAGCCGAGAGGACAAAGGGGAGGGGAGGCGGGAGGTGATGGGGGGAGAAGAGAATGTGGTGGGACCGGGATGACCACCTGTACCTCACCTGTAGGTTGCACCTACCAAGTGCCACCTGCAGGCCGCACCTAGCAAAGCAAGTACCTCACGAGCCAGTGCTGTTAGAAATAGGCTGTCAACACTTTGTGTACTCTATTCTATATCGAGTAGGTTATTTGTAGGTTGGGTGTAATTTGTAATCCCAACCCTATCTGGTTGGGATTCCCTCGTAATCCAGCAAATCTGCCAACTCACCATTGGAGATTTGCCTAGGATTCCCATCCCATCCTTTCCCTAGCTTTGCTCAACCCAACCTTGTTTGTACTTAAGGCCTAGTGCCTTTCTTACTAATAAATCAGTTCATTTCCAATTCTATCATGGTATCGAGCTAGCAAATTCCGCTCACGCGGAATCCAATCCTTGGCGTCACGATGGTTCTCTTCCTCTAGGCTATGCCTATTTCGGCTCCCGGCTCCTACGCTTAGAGTTTTCTAACTTCACATCGTCGCGCAGGTCAAGAGCGCATTCGCCTTCCTTCATCCCGCATTTCGTTTTTCAACAGCGACAAATTCCGCCTTCAACTTCCTTCATCGTAAGCTTCTGGAATTTAAAATCTCCGTGGCAAATTTCTCAATTTCTTAACTTCGAACAGGTTTTCATCGGCGCAGCAGAACCGGTTCATTTCTTAACTTCGAACAGGTTTCAGAGGCGCAGCAGGACAGGTTTCAGCGGCGCAGCAGAACAGGTTTCAGCGGCGCAGCTGAACAGGTTTCAGCGGCGCAGCATAACAGGTTTCAGCGGCGCAGCAGAGCAGGTTCAGCGGCGCAGCAGAACAGGTTCAGCGGCGCAGCAGAGCAGGTTCAGCGGCGCAGCAGAACAGGTCTCAGCGGCGCAGCAGAACAGGTCAGTGGCGCAGCAGAGAAGCGGAAAAGGGGCAGCGGCGAAGCAGAACAGGGGGCATCGGCGAAGCAGAACAGGGGGCATCGGCGAAGCAGAACAGGGGGCATCGGCGAAGCAGTGTAGCAGATCAGAATGCGGGCTTTCTATTGCCGAAATCGCGTTTCGCTCCGCTACGTATCGGAGACTTTAGCGCTGCGCTCCGCGCGAATGGCGACTTCAACTTCCACCCTTGTCGGAAATCTCATTGTTCTCAATCTCGCTCCCAACGGCACGAGCACCAACTTTGGGGAATGGTGCTATGGAGTGGAGAAGCACCTCCTTAGCACGGAGCAGAAGGGAATTTGCCTCAAGGACATCCTTCTCAACCGCGGCAAGGGAAAGATGCCTCTCCCTCCCGATCCTCTTGGCGAAGGAGTCACTGCCGCAGCCAAGACCGCATTTGAGGCTCAGCCCACCAAGTATGAGACCGACTTCAGTGTGGGAGCAGGCGGATGCGGCAGTTATTAGGGTTTTCATCACCACCACTCTAGTTGAACTTGTCAAATCCTACCGCACCTTTCGCTCCGCTCATGAGATTTGGAAGTACCTCCAGGACCGTTTTCATGACAAGACCGCAGTGGGAGTTGCAATCCTCATCCCTCGTATGTTCCAGATCTGCCTTGAGGAATGCCCGGGCATGGCGGACTACATCTCTGAAATTCGTAACATCCACAAGGAACTCAAAGACATCGGGATCATCTTCCCCGAACTGGCACCTGCGGTGCGGCTGGGCTACTCGTAGGTCTTACCCCGGCCTACAATGTCACCAGTTCTATGATCAAGCAGCTCCCCACCAAGGAACTCACTTTCGAGAAAGTCGCATCGGCCCTTCTCTTTCCTGAAAAAGACCTTGCGGCACAAGCATCCGTCAAAGCTGTGCGCTGCACCCCTGGTATCCCATTCCGCTCCCAGCAGGGACCGAGGAGCAACTCGTTTCCCCCATGCCCTTACATCATTAGGAAGGGTCCACGTGCAGGGCAGAAATGTGGAGGCACCAACCACCCTGAGGCAATTTGCTTCCAGAAGCGAGATGACGACTGGTATGACGTCCACGGTATCTCCACCAACAAGCGTCCTCCCAACTGGGCCCCACCCTCTCGCGTGAACCACGTCGAGGCAGTGGAGGAACCTGCTCAGGCATTTGCTAGCGCCCCATCTGATGTTCGCCTCAATCTGTTATTCTCTGGTGCTGGTATTATTAATGAGAAGGGGTCGCAGTACATCGGTGTTTCAAACACACAGGGGATCGAGTTCATACTAGACAGTGGTGCCACCCACACAGTGCTCAAAGACCAAACCGCGTTCGTTCCCTACCAGGCTCCCACCCCACTCCTTGGAGCCGATTCTAGCTTCTCCATCCAATGCCATGGGTCCTCTACAGTTCCTTGTCCTGCCTTCCCATCCGGCACAGTCACTGGCATCTGTGCCCCAACCCTCCGCTACAACCTCCTTGCACAGCGTGAAATCCAACATGCAGGGGTGCTCACCATCTTTCCCAATGATGTTGACGACTGTGACCTATTTGACACCAAATCCCACATCCATCTTGCCCGCTTCACCCCAAACTCCAACAACCTCTACACACTCGTTGTACCTCCCATTCAAACATGCTCGCTCACCAACCTTCCGCTTCCTTCCTCCGACTCCTCCACCTGTCACTGCCGTCTCCTTTCTGACAAAACTATGCTATTTCATCACCGCCTCGGCCACATTAACTTTCGCGCACTTCCAGACCTTGCCACAAAACAGCTCCTTCATGGACTTCCAGCCTCACTTCCCTCCCCAACCTCCAACCTAGGGCCGCCTTGCCTTGACTGTGCACAGAGCAAGCTTCGTGAACAGCCCCATCCCCCAACTGAGTCCATCTCAACTGCACCTCTCGATCGCGTGCACATGGACCTATGGGGTCCAGCTCCTGTTCGTTCTCGTGGCGGACACTTCTACTTCCTTGTCATCATTGATGACTATTCCCGCTATGTGTCTGTCCACCTTCTCACCTCCCAAGTCAGAAGCCCCAGCCGTCATCATGGAATGGGCCCGGCAGGCTCATAACCACTTCAAAACTACAATCAAGGTTCTTCACTCTGACGGAGGCGGTGAATTCCGCAACAACACTCTCAAAGCTTTTTGCTCTACACAGGGTATCTTTCAGACCTTCACTCTCCCAGACAGTCCTCAACAGAACGGTGTTGCTGAGAGCCGCTGACAGTCCTCATCCTCACCACACCCACACCACCCCCGCTGAGCTGTGGACGGGTCAAAAGCCGTCCGTCCGCCCTCTGCGCGTATGGGGGTGCACTTTCTATGTCCTCCTCAACTCCCAAGCCCGCCGTGCAGCTGGCGGCAAACTTGCTCCCAAAACAGTCACGTGCGTGTACCTCGGGCACAACTCAGACTCCCCAGACTATCTCTTCCTCCATCCTTCCACCAACAAGCTCTATCGCAAACGGGACGTGTTCTTTGATGAGTCTCACCCGTTCTACCCTTCCTCCAAGGCTTCCCCCTCTCCTATGCCTCCTTCTCTTACTTGGGCTGACTTTGACAGCCTTCCTCCTCCCGACACTCCATCTCCTCTTCCCGCTCCCTCCACCGTCTCTGACCCGCCACCACCCACTTCCCCCTCCAGCACCACGCAGTCTCCTCCGCTCCTTCCCTCCCCCTTCCCTCCCCCACTGGCTCCCCCTCCTTTCTCCCCTCCCGCTCTGGCTCCTGATCCTGCTTCCGCTCCTCCTTCCGAGCCTCCTCCTCTCAAAACCTACCACCGCCGTCCTCCTGCTCCTGCTCCAGCTCCCGATCCTACTCTTGATCCCACTCCCACTTCACCTACCGCTACTCCTCCTCCTGCTCCGCCTCCCTCCCCCATCGCTTCTCGCACCCGCTCTCATAAAGCTCCAAAGCCGCTCTCCCTTTCCGTTCGTGTCTTCCTCAATCCTCCTCATGTCGGGGGTGATTATTCTCCTTAAAACAGACATGAGGAGTTGATTGATATCGAGTCAGCCATACACGCACTCTACTTCCTCTTTCCAGATATCGCAGACTCTCCCACTCTCAATTTCTCCGACAACCCCTCCATCCCCACACCTCGCACCTATGCTGAAGCAGTTTCTGGTCCTCACGCCGCAGAATGTGAGGCCTTCATTCATACAGGAACTTTCACAGATGAAGGGCAAATGGGTTTTTCGGGTGAAACAACTCCCAGCCCAGGCGAACTCCCGGTCTTCAAAGCCCGGTACTGTGCCAAGGGATTTACCCAAAAGCACGGACTGGACTTTTTTGAGACATTCACTCCCACCGCCAAACCCCCCCACACTATGCACCCTTCTCGATGTTGCCGCTCAGGATGACATGGAGGTTGATTGCATGGATGTGTCGTCTGCATTTCTTCAAGGGATTCTTCGAGAGGAGATCTTTATGGAACGACCCCAAGGATTTCCAGCTCCCTTTCCACCAGGCACTGTATGGAAGCTAAATCGGCCAGTGTATGGCCTCAAGCAAGCACCCCGGGAATGGCACAAGTTGAAGAGCACCTTAGGGTCCCTCGACTTTCACCCATCCACCTCTAACCCCAATAGCTTCATCCGAGCTACACCATCCCACTTCTTCATCTTGGTTTATGTCGATGACATGGTCCTTGTCAACAAGGATCAGGCTAAGTTGGCAGCAGTCAAAACCGCACTTGGGGAGAAGCTGGCCATGAAGGATCTTGGGAAGCTGACGAACTATTTGGGCATGGAAATTGCGCGTGATCGCACGGCCCACACCATCACCCTCTCGCAAAATTTTTTACATCAAAAACGTCCTGACGCGGTTCAAGATGCAGGAAGCCGCATCAATGCCTACCCCACTCTCTCTGCACCACCAGCTCACTGCACCCTCTGTTCCCTCACCTGAGCCCTGTGACGAGCCATACCCCGAGCTCGTTGGATCCCTCATGTACGCGATGATGTGCATTCGGCCAAACTTGGCCTACCCATTCAATGTACTGTCTTGCTACGTTGCATCTGGTCGCTTCACCCACCACCACTGGTCTGCCGCCAAGCGGGTCCTTCGCTATCTCAAAGGCACATATGATTATGTGCTCACTCTTGGCGGCTCTTCACTTGTTCACCTTGAGGGGTACAGTGACTCGTCATACACTGATGACCAGAGTGAACGGCGCTCTTCTCAAAGGTATTGCTTTACCCTTGGCAGCGGGGTTGTCAGTTGGCGCTCCACTCGATCGTCCTCAGTCTCACTGTCAACCTGTGAAGCAGAGTTGTACGCCGGGACCATGGCTGCCCAGGAGGCCCGTTGGCTCTCCTTCCTGTTGGCAGAACTCGGGTATCCTCAGCCAGCCCCAACGCTTTGGTGTAACAACGAGAGCACCATTCATCTCACCAAGGACCCCGTTTTTCACGACCGCACCAAGCACATTGAGGTCCGTTACTTTCTTAGTGAGATGGTGCAGCGCGAGCAGCTGAAGGCTGACCACATTGCCTCCGACTGCAACCTTGCTGACTTATTTACCAAGTCACTTATTCGCCAGGACCACTACCGCCTCCTCTCGTCCATGGGTGTTGGGCCTCCCTGTGGCATATATGTTGCAGCCTAGGGGGTGTGTTAGAAATAGGTTGTCAACACTTTGTGTACTATATTCTATATCGAGTAGGTTATTTGTAGGTTGGGTGTAGTTTGTAATCCCAACCCTATCTGGTTGGGATTCCCTCGTAATCCAGCAAATCTGCCAACTCACCATTGGAGATTTGCCTAGGATTTCCATCCCATCCTTTCCCTAGCTTTGCTCAACCCAACCTTGTTTGTACTTAAGGTCTAGTGCCTTTCTTACTAATAAATCAGTTCAGCTCCAATTCTATCAAGCACCACCCCTGCCTTTCTCCCGGTGCACCTGGGGTGATGTGATGAGGCTGGCTTGGCTGACGGAGTGGCTGAAGGGGCCGATGTGCCACGCGATGTGCGGGGTGACGTTAAATATGCACACACGCCCGTCACTTACAAGCACCAGCCAGCGCCACCCCTGCCTTTCTCCCGGTGCACCCAGGCAGTGATAAGGCTGGAAGCTGTACCTCGCCTGTACCACACCAGTCAGTGACACAGCAGTCAGTGCCACACCCACCCACCAGTCACTGCGTACCTGGGCGGTGATGAGGCTGGCTTGGGTGGCGGAGTGGCCGAAGGGGTCGATCTGCCAGGCGATGCGCGGGGTGATGTTGAATATCCACACACAACCGTCGCTTACCAGCACCAATCACTGCCAACCCTCCCCTTCCTTCCTCCTGGCGCACCTGGGCAGTGATGAGGCTGGCTTGGGTGGCGGAGTGGCCGAAGGGGTCGATCTGCCAGGCGATGCGCGGGGTGATGTTGAAGTGCGCCATGAGGAAGCGGTGCCCCATGGCCATCTGATGCACCATGTCCGTGTAGTGCGTGCACGCCTTGTCATGCATCACCCACCCGCCGTTGCTGCATGTCATGTGGAAGAAGCATAGAAGATATGTGTATGGGAGAGGATGGGGGAGAGAAGGGGAGGGGGGCAAGGGGGGGGTTGGGAAGGGGGGGGATGGGAAGGGTGGGGGAGTTGGGGCGTGGGGCGATGCGCGGGGTGATGTTGAAGTGCGCCATGAGGAAGCGGTGCCCCATGGCCATCTGATGCACCATGTCTGTGTAGTGTGTGCACGCCTCGTCATACATCACCCACCCGCCGTTGCTGCACAGCATAGCGCATGGAGGAAAGATACAAAATATGTGTATGGGAGAGGAGGGAGGGAAGGAGGGGGAGGGAGGAGGAGGGGGGGAAGGGGGGTAGGTGACGGGAGTGGGGGTTGGGGCGAGGGGGGGATGACATGTCATCAAATGAGGGTTCTTCAACATTCGATGTGCACCATGTCCAAAACGCCTGTCATGCATGACCTACGCGCCATGCTTTGGGAGAAAGGGATATGCAAAATTTGGAATCGGCGAATGCATGCCTACTACAGTAGTGAGAACTTGAATGGCTGGGTTGGGTTGATGTTACTAAATTCTTATCCTTTTCTGTCATATCAGAATGCACTGTCTTTAGTGAAACCGGTTAACATCAAGGAATGTGCTGACTCACATAAACTCCAACTGGCCAGAAGCCACCAGCTTCCGTACTTTTTCCCGCATTGATTCGTGCTGGCGTTCCCACCAACGATAGAAAAAACCCTGCAGACATACAGGTAAGTGAGGATAAAGAAAATTTGACTTGTTTAACCCATCCGGTTGTATCCACTTCATATGGGAGCAAAACTCGTAATATCTGTATTGTGTTTCTACCGTTGTGAGAAAAGTGGATGAATCCTGATCACTTGCGTCCTTCGTGAGTCAGTAACTCTGGCGACCACGTACGCAACAGGAGTTCTTGAGTTGATGTGATTCACTCATTCAACTGAGATAACCACAAGTAGCGCATTCGCTACTCAATGCTGTGGAATCAGCATTGGTGCGACTCGTAAACTGCTTTAGATCCACGATTTAGCAGTGGAGGCACGTAGTACTTGGTACCATGCAATCATAAGGCATCAATGAATCTAGTTAGGCTCAAAGGATGCTCTCACCTGCTCTACTTGAATGAACTTGCGGTCAGGATTGTCCGAAAGCTGGTCGACGACGGTCTCGATGATGTACTGTACCGTGTCGACCTGCAGTGATGTACGACGAAATAGAAACAGAATGTGAACGAAGGTTGGTCGATCAAAGACTTCCGTTCGCCGCTTGTCAGCGTGAAGTGACTACACGGACCAGTGCACAAGCACGTCAATCTTAACGTCGCGAACCACGTCCTACGCTTCCGAAACTACGACCAATGTTCCTTTTGAACGAGCAGCCTGTGGAGATTCCATCGGAACCCCAATACCTTCAAGGTTCCATTGCGAAATCCTTCGTTGAAATCACTTTTGAGAACTCTCAGAAGTGATTTCAGCATAGCTGATTCCATCGGAACCCATCGCGACCTTCAAGGCTCCATCGCGAAATCCTTCAGAACCCCTTTTACGTTCGGGGAATATGCGCTGATTAGTAGCGACTACAATGGACGAGTTCAAGACCGGTTTATGCCAGCGATTATCGCAGAATCTTCATTCTCAAATCTCCGACGTTCGTACTCACGTAATACTGGTCAATGGTTTTCAGCCAACCGAGGTCGTCGTGCGAGTGAACCACCAAGTGTACGTTCAGCTTTCCGTCCACCACTACAGCGCTGGTATTGTAACGAAACGGCACGATCTCCTCAAACGAGGATGAAGCTTCATTGTGACCCGTGATCGGCGTCTGATCGCTCTGAGCCGTTGCTGTTTCTACCCGTTCTAAGGATATGAATGGGATGCGTGTTGATAGTGACTGCTGCAACATCAGCAAAGTGAAGCCCGTCAATATGCCTATAACGAACGGCGGCACGAGCACTGCGGCTCGATTCCATGACGTCATCACTGCAGTCATCTAATTCTACTCGTAAGAAGTATTATCGGAAAGAAACGGCTTTTGCGGAGCAATGGAAGGAAAAACACGATCACCCTACTCTGTCTTGAATACTTCGGGACTGAGGTAGCTTCAGACACGCTGCCATTGCGATCCCAAGGAACTGAAAACACCCTCGGTGATACTGGAGTGTTCTCTGTTTGTGTGTGAAGGTTCAGGCTGGTGGGTAGGAAGCGGTTGAAAGTGGTGAGAAACAAAATCGTTCCAGAATGCACAGCATCGTAATGAACCGATTTCGATGAGCAAAAGTGAATTCTGGGCATTTGGTGGAGGTTGGAGGATGCAAGCAGACGAATGGAATTGGTTGGAGTGCTGCATTCTGTTTGCTTGTCTTGGAGTTGAGCTTGCATGGGACAAGGATTACGTGTACCGTGGCTTTTAGCACCTTGTACATTTCTTTTTTTCGGTCAGCAGGAATGTGTGATGTCTATTATTTTTTTTAGGAGGTTCCTATTGTGACTCTGTAAGGTTTTCAGACTAAGAGTGCTACCAGCTCAGAAATATCAGTCTGTAAAAAGCATTCACTATTTGTAAGGGTTGGAAATCAAACTACGAGGTCCAAACCTAGACCTTGCCTTATCTTATAGAAGACACATACCCTTAGGTATTAAGAAGACCTTTATTTCCCAATTGAGGTACTACAATGTCGAGAACATCGATGTAGCCCTCGTACAGCACTGTTCATCGAGGCACGAATATTCCTCCGTCGTTACCACTCACCTTTTATCGCAAGCATTCGTCCTGCTACACAATGCCGAAGCCCTAGCCTTGAGAGTTTCTCGAGCCCCAGCGAAAGCATGTTTCCTATGTATGGAATCTTCTCGCTCATTCCTTAGGACTGACAACGAAGCTACAGAAATATGGGGGAAGAAAAAGTGAACTATTGAAGCAATTGTCACTATCGAAACCACTGCGACTGATGTTCGAGCCACTACCTGAAGCATGAGCTCTCCTGAAGCCATGATAGCATTAGTGACTCACATAAGATTTGAAGAAACCAGGCCTACGTGACTAGCGCGTCCGATATTCTTGTTTCGGCTTTTTTGCCCGAACAACGACTCAGCGGGGTGGGGGCCCCCCGGGGAGGCTTGCCCGTGCGAAGAAACGCACTTCTGCTTAGACTAGGAGCATGGCGCCACCTGCAGTGAAGTACAGAATCCAGTCATCAATTGCGGAAGGAGGCGAACGACGTTATTCAATATTATCAGTTGCTGATGATGTCGCACACAAGAGGCACAAGAAGAACCCATTCGATCAGAAGTACCTTTCGCTAGCCTTGGCGCCATTTGACATTGTAAGGATATGGATACTTAGCACGATATATTGGCCACTCTACTGTTCAGTGACGTCTTAGCACGATATATTGGCCACTCTACTGTTCAGTGACGTCAGCTTTTTTTTCACAGGCAGATAACAGGGGAAAAACGAAAAATGTCGTTACTAAGGCTGACGTGGAGGAGGCGTCAACCAACGTTTATGTCCGAGCGGAGGTAAGAACTTACCCATGAATAATTTGAGTGTGTTTTTCCGTCTTGCATCTGACGTCAACGTTCATGCGTGCAGCTTATTCGAACAATGCGAGGTACGCGAGTATCCAGGTTTTGCTGGCTGATGAAACCCTAGGAGGCTCTTGCCAATGACACGCTCCATTCAAAACAGACGTGTTGTCTAAGAAGACCACTGAGGCCGTTCGTGAGCTCAAGACCACAGCTAGGGAGCCAGGTTCAAAGCCTACAAAATCAGGTCAGGACAAATTTGTGGTGATGCTTAGGTCGTTTTCGTGCTCACAGCTAACAGCATTTACATTTTACAGCCCGAAACGTCAATGGGCAAGAATCGACGGAGTCTGACCTCGATCGGTACAAAACTATTTTCGGGGATGGGCAACTACTGAGCGGTGAAGAGAAGAGCAGACATGGTAAATTTGGTAGCTTCATTGGCGCCACAACGCAGCGAAGGAACAATCAGGGAGTGTTGAAATTGAACCTGGATGATGCAGTGGCCAATGCAGTAAGTTTGATTTGATGTACCATAATTTTGACATATTCCGCAACAGCATGATCAGTTGAAACCACACTGACGGTATACCTCCCTGGCAGATCAGTAAAATATCTGAAAACAAGTCCCCTTTTCTCCATCGGGACGAGTTGTGTTACAGCCTAAGCTCTTCCACCTCTGGGAATCTGGAATCCACAATCTCAAGGTAGGCAACTTCAAGCTGCCACTTATGGGCGCATCTGCATGTATATCCTCTAATCATCAGCCTTTGTTTGTGAAGAGTGCTTGACTGGCATGGAAACGATGATGGTTACCCCGAGATAAGCATTCCCACATACTTTGATCTAAGACCGTATAAAGGTCTCGTTGTTCCCATTGAGGAAGACCTATTGGATGATGAAGCTGCTGAAGATGATGCTCCAATTGAAGTTCCGTCACTGTTTGATGGCGAGGCTGCATCTGACACTTCTTTTCCAAATATGGAGCCAGACGTAAGTTAGCCATTGCACCGGAGGAGTTGCACCTGCGCTGTGCAACATAATCATCATCAGTATGGCACATGCTGCAACTGTATTGAGTATGCTTTGCATGCTGCAGGTGCACGGGGAAGCCTTGCACTATGATGCTCCTCATGGAGAGGACAAGGATTTTGATGACATTTGTGACTTTGACGACTTTGATCTTGTGGATAAGCTTGTTGAGGAACATGAAGCGAAGAAGGCTGCTCGCGCAGCAGAAAATCCTGACTTGCCAGAGGAGGTATACTTCTTAGTTGCGCTTTGCTAATCGTCTTGTGCGCTGCAACTTTCTCTGAGCTAATGTCTCACACTTGACAGGCCACAGCTGGAAGGACCTCACAAGCGGTTCCTGTCCAAGCTCATGCACAGCATGTGAATGCTGAAGAGCCCCACCCGCCTCAAGAACATGAGCAATGGCATGCACCTCCTGAGCCTTTTGCTGACCCGATTACCGAATGTCCGGACGCAAACCAAGTCAAACCTGGCGATCATGAGGCGTCTCAAGTTTGTGGTCTGTACAAGCCACAGTTTGGTAAAAGAAAATCACGTCTGGAGAAAATGGTGTCAACCTCAATGAACGAGCCAGAGGGTGACCCCATGGGCCCACCAGAGTGCCAATCTGAGGAACAACCAGCAGAAATGACTGTGGATGGAAGTGGCCCACCAGATAATTTAATACAAACTGAGGAGGCCCCAGCAGTTGACAAGGTATGATTCTTGGGGTTTGTGCCGTATATGTAGCTGTTCATGCTCTCTCAACCTACTTCAGCAGGGACCCAGTATCCTTCTCCTTGATCGGCTTGTGGTTTCAAAGTTTCGAGAGGCAGATTCCAGCAGCACTACCCGACAAAGCAGGTAAGTAAAGCAATCTTGTGCACAAACAGTGTGTGCAGCCAAAGCTTTCTTGATTCCTTACGGCCCATTCTGTTCTCCCTCAACATGGATGATCAAGCACTTGTCAAATTTGCAGGCAAATTCGTGATGCAGAGAGGCTTCTTATGCCACCACAACAGTGCGAGGAACCAATTCCCTCAGATCCGTGGGATGATACCGATATGGACCGAGACATGTTCAGGCTTTCCCTGTACAGATGTAAGTGCTTGGGTTACAAAAAGGAAGCAAACGATTTCATGAATTCACAGACTTCCCTTTTAAATGCAAATTCTATTCCTGGAATTTCTGTCGAGGGCTTTTTGTTTCGCTTGTGCAGCAAGATTCGACATTGTTTCATATCGTGAGAAGCTGTTCACCGACCCTTCCGTGGTATGGTGCTACTTTTCTAGAAATGTTGTGGTCCTGATTTGTGGTGAACGTTGGATAATAATATTTTCCTGATGCTCTACAGATTGAGGGGGGTTTCGACCTTGACTTCTCTGATGTTTCATGTATGTTGTTTTAATTGCTATTCTTGTCTTCCCTGGCCTCGTGACTAATTTTTGTGATATTCAGGCTCCAAGATATCTGACATGTCACTTGTAGTATATGAAGATGACACTTTCCAACTTCCACCGCCTGAGATGGAAGGAATCCATGAATATGTTGAAGACCTTGACAATTCATTGGAAATCCCACTTCAGGAGCCATCTGGTTCCTCGATGCATGAAGAAGACCACAACGACAAGGATTTCTGGGATTTATGTGGGTGGAAGGATCTGGACCCAGTTCACTCTCCCAATCATGATGGTCCAACTATGATGCATCAGCCTCAGCGGCATGAACCAGTGGTGGCTTATTGCAAGCCAAGTGCTGAGCCATGTGCCGATACTACATTTAGGATTCCACCCTCAGGAGATTCAAGGGTCCATCATGAGAACATCCTGCTCGCACCTGCTCCAGATCCTGCAAGAAACTGCAACTATCCAGTTTCGTTCACTGCTCCAGTTGCCGCTGATCATGACAAGCCAGAATCATCATTTTTACAAAACTTGGCGAGGCACGCTGACGTTCATCCAGTGCCCGGAACTGACCGTTTTCCAAAAGCAGCAGATCCGTGCAACAGTGTTCCCGTGCCCACAAGAATTGAGACAGTTCCACCTCCTGTTAACATTGGACTTGTACGACCTGCTAAGACATCCTGTCATATTCTTCCCTCCACGGGACATGCGGCTCCTAGTTCACAGGCAGTTGGATCTCAATCTACTGCAACTCATCCACAATGCTCCATGGGTTCATCAGCTGTGGAAACTTCCTCTTGTGGTAACGCGCGAGGGAAGCGCCCCAGGCTCCAAGACCTGATCGAGCAAGTGATGAGTCGAGATGCTTATCCGGTACGTTTTTTTTTTTTTTTTACTGATTGTTTCACTCTGGTTGATGTGGCTGTCATCATTGCACACAATTCTCGTGTTTATGTTCCCACTGCAGGAGCATTTATCTGACCCGTCAAGCATCTCTGCACTTTCACATAAGCTCGAGAAGGATATTGCTGTGGCTGTCAAGTCTGGAGAGAGAGTATTTGGAAGAGATCATCTAACAAACATGCTTGGACAAACTTCTGCAAAAGGTAATGCATCAAAATCACAATCCTTTGTTGAGAGGTCACTGCACTTCCTAACTGTGGTTAATGCTGCAGGAGCAATGACAGCACAGAGATACCTAATGGTGCTGTTGAACCTCGCTCACCACCACAACATTCTGCCTCCAGAACGAAGGGTGAGCATGTGTGCTGAAACAGCACAGTGACAGTTCTTGCATCATCGCTCGCTTGACCACATCCCAGTCTTTCATGGAAACCTTTGGTGCTTTGCAGGAGCCAACGATAAGTGACACTGATTTTGTGCTGCGCTGCGCCTCTGGAGCTGGCCCCTCCTGTGTGGAGTTGAGCTTGTCAGCCATCACGTTTGTTGACGGATGAAGATTCCTTTGTTTCTACTGGATTTTAGCATGAACGGCCAATCACAAATGCAGTGTTTCAGCAAGCAGATTACAACACACTACAGCAGATCCTGATATGAAGCTTTAAAAGCTGCTCCACAGCATAAACATTCAAAGTGGGTTAGTAGAATGACACCAGTTAACACCAAGCATTTGTGCTTCACATGCGACCACCTATAGCCAACCAGCTCTGGTCTCTACAAACGTGCATCAGATAAACATGTCAAGCTCCGCTCGAGTGTAGGTATTGTTTGGCTCGTCAGGCAGGTGTGGGTATGCAGCCACAAGGGCATCTTGTGCACCAATGTACAGGTTGTTGTAGATACGCCAATACACCTCACGCACCTTACGAGCTGGATGGTATAGACCCTGCATGGAAATAAAGAGGGTGTGAAAACGGGCTGAAACAAGTCTGCAACACCCAGATCAATCCAATTGAAAGAACCAGTTTTTTGCTCTGGAAACACAGGTAGTGCAGCCACCTCAAATTTCACCGTGCGCAGCAGTATGAGAACACAAGCAAGCAACATTGGAACAACCAACAAACCTGACATGTGCTGATTACAACATGGAAAACTGCCTACCTGCAGGACATATCCAAGAACGAGTGCAGGGCCCAGGGCCACCCTCATGCTGTCAATGGTCCCCATGACTGCTTGAATCAAATGAGGTGATGTCTCAAATATGTTGGGCCACACCAGGTTTAGCAAGTGAATCTGCATAAAAAAAAATCATGGAGAATAAAACGGTAAGGTAATACCAGAGATGAAACGCGCCTAGAGGAGACAACAGAAGTCAAGCGAAGATGTCGAGTAAAAACCAGGAAGATGTGCAGGATGGCATGGCCTAGAAAAGGTGAGCAAAGGCATGTGCAATTTGAATGACAGAGAACTAGCCTGGTGGACAATGAACCTGGTAGATAACAAGCCTGGCCAACAGAGAGAGGACTCACCAGAGCATCTTCACAACCAAGCCCTGCCACTCCCAGCGTCATATGCATCACTGCCAAAGCTGCCGTCTGAAACACAAGCGAGCGGAAGAGGAGATGTACAGTTCAGGCGGAATTCAGGTTGCCAGATGAAGGAGTCATCTTGGTCATGCGGATCACGTTCACAATGGCTCTGAGCACTCCTGGAATGGACCCGAGCATCTCGGGGTACTCTGGAGAGGGGAAGACCGCAGAGACACATAGAGCGAGCGAACCAAGTTACGTCTATTAAAAAAACGTGACAGCAGGGGGAGGGGCGAGGGGGGGAGAGAAAAGGTTGGCAGAGGTGTGAATTGTGCTGGCAAGTGCCCCCTGAGCTGCTCCTTCCCCCACACACTCATCACCACCGCTCTAATAGATTGCACTGACTGCACCGCACTGCACGACACTGCACCACACTTCAACACACCACACCATGCCACACCCAGTCCTACCTTCTCCCAGGTACTCATCATAGAGCACGATGCCCAGGTGGCCCATGAGCTGCTCTTTCCCGCACGCCTTCATCACCACTGCAATGCGTGCTATCAGATCCGTTGCCTGCTATCACACTCTTACTACATGCACGACATGCCACTGCACCGTACTGAACTGCACTCCACTGCACCATGCACACCATATCCTACTCTACTCACCTTCTCCGAGGTACTCATAGAGCACGACGCCCAGATGCCCCATGAGCTGCTCCTCCCCACACGCCTTCATCACCACTGCAATGCGCGCTATCAGGTCCGCCGCCCACTGCCGCACCTTTGCACTCTTGTTGTTCAGCCGCCACTTCACTGTTCCACAGATCTGTTAACACAGAGAACACAAAAGGGAATAAGAAAGAGAGGGTTACACAAAGGAATGGGAGAAGAGACGAGCGGAGCGGCTGACATAAGCAGTGGCCATACTAGAAAGGAGTGCTGCTACAGAAGAAAACAAATTGCATCCACAGCCGATTTTACTGAGCTGTGCTGCGAAGAGACGCACTGGCGTGGGGGAGGTAGGGCCGCACTCTCTGCCCGAGCGCATTGACCACGGTGCCAAAGCCGTTGAGCATCACATTCGCATCGTCGCTTGTCTGCACTCATCATGGGGCGTGATCAAGCATGCATGCATGCATATGTCAGCCAGGGGTGCATAGAGGTATGTATGCATAGCATGCACATGATGGGGCATGCCAACGAGCTGAGAGACGAGAGGGAGGGAAGGGGGTGGAATTCTGGGTAGGACGCGAAGAGGAAGGCTGGATGTAGTAACAGAAACGAAGGCAAGAAGGGAATCTGGGTTCGCTGCCAACCATGTACAACGGCAATATTTTTTAGGCGCCTCAAAAAACTGGGTTCGCTGCCAACGCACAACGTCAATACATTGGTCCTCCAACCGCGCATCGATGTCAGCGTCCCCCAGGTTAGTGAGCATCTTCTCCACCGTCTCCATCACCATTCCCACTCCCCATGTACCCACCCACGTGTTGTCCCCCACATACCCAGTGCCCACAGGTTCCTGGAAGGTAGAGAGGATGCCGTCGATCAGCATATCTTCCAGCCGGGTGTCGATGTCAGCCGCCCCCAGGTTGGTGAGCACCTTCTCCACCGTCTTCATCACCATGCGATGTGCCTCATTAGCCCACGCACATACGCAACCACCTGCTGCCAGTCACCCACCCAACTGCTCCTGGAACGCATAGAGGATTCCGTCAATCAGTAGTTCCTCCAGTTGCGCGTCGATGTCAGTGGCCCCTAGGTTAGTGAGCACCTTAACCGTCTCCACCACCATGCGCCCTCTGTCATGTGTCGAGCCTATCCCACCCTTCACGCACCTCCTGCTCCTTCAAATCACCCACCTGCTCCTAGAAGGCGTAAAGAATCCCATCAATCAGAAGCTCCTCCAGCCAGGCATCAATATCAGCGGCGCCCAGGTTGGTGAGCACCTTCTCAACCGTCTCCATCACCATGCGCCGGTACGGCTCGCTCTCATCCTTGAGGTCCTCCACCACCCGCCCTATGATGTCGCTCAATCCCGCCTGGGAAGGGGGGGCAGGTTTTTTTAGTGAGGGGTATGGTGAAGTGGGGCAGATGGTGAGTGGAGAGGCAAAAGACAGCTCGCTCTCGTCCTTGAGGTCCTCCACCACCCGCCCTATCATGTCACTCACTCCCGCCTAGGGAGGAGAGGGTGAGGGGTAGTGTGGGGGGGAGAGGAGAGACGTGAGTGAGGGAAATCGAGAGTGGAGGCCAACGACGGCTCGCTCTCGTCCTTGAGGTCCTCCACAACCCGCCCTACGGTGTCGCCCGCACCCGCCTGTTAGCGGGGAGGGAGAGAGATGAGAGTGAGGGGATACGAGGATATGGCAAAGTGAGGGGAATGGTGTGGGGAGTGAAGGACAAAGGTGATGTCGCTCACCCCTGCAAGGGAAGGTGATGGGTGGGTACATGGGGATAAGGAGACACGGTGATAAGGGGAAATGGTGATAAAGGGACATGGGGATAAGGGGACATGGTGAAGGGAAGAAACAGGTGAGCGGATGACAGAGATGGCTGGCTGTGGTCCTCCTCAAGGTCTTCCGTCAAATGCGACCCGCCCTGCCCTGCAATCACACCACTCTGTTGTAATGCCCTGCAATGCAACTACTTATGTCACTCACGCCCGCCTGGCCGCGCACTGCCTGTCCCCACATGCTGTTGCACCACATTCTCCAGTCGCAACCGAGCCGACGTTGACACAATGAGAGCAGTTGCAACACGGCCAATGGAGGCAGAAGAGGGAAGGGAGGCTGAGGAGGGGAGGGGGGAGTGGATGGTGCAAGGCAGCAGGAACGGGAATCAGGACGTGGGAGTTGATTCCCGTAAAACCCAATGCACGCACCTTATTTGCGATCTCCACAGTCGTCTCCACCAGTTGTTTGTAATTCCTTCTGTCCAGCGCCATGTGGCGCACCCAGAAGGGCTTGAAGTACTCAGGGAGGATCTCTGTGCGGATGTAGTCCGGCTCCACTCCGTCTGTGCTGTGCTGCTTCCCATTCCCCCACACTGCTTCACCTCCGTCGCCACCTGTCCACCTGCTGACCTGCTTACCTGCCCTGCCAACCCTCCCTCAAAGCCCACTGACCTTATTTGCAATCTCCACGGTGGTTTCCACGAGCTGCTTGTAATTCCTTCTATCCAGCGCCATGCGGCGCACCCAGAAGTGCTTGAAGTACTCGGGGAGTATCTCCGTGCGGGTGTAGTCTGGCTCCACTCCGTCTGTGCTGTGCTGCTTCCCATTCCCCCACACTGCTTCACCTCCTTCGCCACCTGTCCACCTGCTGACCTGCTTACCTGCCCTGCCAACCCTCCCTCAAAGCCCACTAACCTTATTCGCGATCTCCACGGTGGTTTCCACGAGCTGCTTGTAATTCCTTCTATCCAGCGCCATGCGGCGCACCCAGAAGTGCTTAAAGTACTCGGGGAGGATCTCCGTGCGAATGTAGTCCGGCTCCATGCCGTCCGTGCCCACAGACTGCTTCACCACCTTCAGCACTAACTTCTTCATCTCCTCGTCTGGCGACTGGAACTCACGAATCAGCACCACCATCACCTGAACGAGCAGGGAGGTGGGAAGGGGAGGGGAGGGAGGGGACGGGACGGTGGGAGAGTTGGAGATGCAAGTGAAGAGGCATAGTCAGTCCATGCACACACACTGCAGTCACCTACATGCACAGTCGCTCGCATGCATGGCATTCAAAACATGAATGGTGAGCTGATTCGCCCCCTGTGCCCTCCCGTCCATGCCACCCCCATCCATCCCGTCCCTTCAACCTCCCACACATCCTTCTCCCACTCACCTCACGTGTGTAGTAGCTGGCATACATGGCGTCCATCTAAGAGATGATGAACAGACATACCCCACCATACCCCCCCATAAGGACCCACGTATCCCAGTCCTTCCCTCCCACCTCCCCCCATCGCCCACTCACCTCACGTGTGTAGTAGCTGGCATACATGGCGTCCATCAGGGGAATGATGAACCCCACACATGTCCCCTCCGATCTCCCCCCCCATCCCGCTAACCCACACCCCCTACACACACACAGACACTCCTTCCTCCTCACCTCGCGTGTGTAGTAGTTGGCATACATGGCGTCCATTAGGGGATGATTAACCCCATACATGTGCCCCCAGCGCCCCCTATGATGAACCCAACCCAATCCACATGCAACCCCTTTCTCTCTGCACCTCACGTGTGTAGTAGTTGGCATACATGGCGTCCATCAGAGGGATGATGAACCCGATCGCCTTCAGGAAGGCCGCAAGAACCTTCCCACGGTGCGCGCAAATGCCCTTTCACAGTGGCTTCAGCACGGAGTCAAAGCTCTCAATGCCGTACGGTGCTGACGCCTCTGCCAGCGCTGCCAGAGACAAAGCTGTGATGGTGCGGACTTGAGGGGGGCAGGAGGAAAGTGGAGAAAAAAGAGGATTGCAAGTCAGCACGGAGTCAAAGCTCTCAATGATGAACGGCGCTGACACCTCTGCTAGCGCTGCCAGGGAGAGCGAAGTGATGGTGCAAACCTGAGCTAAATAATTGGTGCGACGGTGCGTACCTTCTCTTTGTCGTCCTCCAGCCCATCCTTAATGGTATCCACCAAGAGTTGATTCACTCACTTTCACCACCACCTACTCACACCCCCCAACTCTCACCTTCTGGTTGTCGTCCCCCAGCCCATGCTCAATGATATCCACCAGCGACCGGCAGCACGGCGCAGCCCATGAGGATGGCGATCTGCTGCATGATCTTGATGCACGTGTGCCGCACCTGCCACGACTTCTTGCTGGCGCACACGGCTCGCAGGAATGGCAGTAGCGTGGGGATGCCCAGGGCGGACGCCACCACGGAGAAGGCGCGGGCGGTGGTGTTGCGCACGTACTCGTCTACGTTGTCTATGTTGGGGTGCATTGCTGCAATCATTGTTGCCAGCCCTGCTGCCTGTGGGTGGGGAGAGGCCGAGGAGAGAGGAAAAAGGGGTTGTGAGTGAGGCCCATCTGCAGGGCGACGGCGACGAGATACTGCTCGTTGCCTCGACCAGGGAGGTGTCGGTCGAGCGAGCTACACCGGACGAGCCCTCTGCACCGACCTTTGCCCTTGCTCGACGCAGTCGCCGTCGACCGAGGTGGTGGCTCTGCGGATGATCGTCTCGGTGACGAAATCAACCCCTGACCGGTTGCATGCGAGGCTCGCGCATGTCGGCGTCGACACGATCAAGAGCTCCGCGAAGCATGAAGTTGCTACTGGGCTCGACATCACGCCGTTGACCGGAGCAGACCCGCCGTGTGTCTTGTGCGTCGGAGGAAAGCTGGCTCGGCACACCTTCCCTAACAAGGCTCGGACGCCGAGGAAGCACCGGCTGTCGTGCACATTGACTTGTGTGGACCATTTCGGGTGGCTGCCAAGGATGGCAGCCTGTACTTCCTGCTGTTGAAGGATCGCCACACTCGGTTCGTGTGGGCAATGCTGGTCGTTAAGAAGAGCGATGTGCTGCGGGAATTCCAATTGTGGCTGGTGCTGGTCGAGCGGTAGACAAAGAAGACGGTGCTGATGCTCCGCTCATATCGAGGTGGGGAGTTCCTCGGGAAGGCGTTCACCGACTTCGTCAACGGGAAGGGCATCGTCCACAACTTGACGTGCCCCTACACTCCGCATCAGAACGCCATGGCTGAGCTGGAGTTGCGCACGGTCGTCGAGTCCGTGCGGACGATGCTGCTGCACATGGGCGTGCAGCACCACTGGTGGCATCTCGCCGTACGACAGGACGTTTGGGTACGCAACTGTTTGGAGCGGTCGACGATGCCGCCGAGAACGACGCCGTACCAGCTGCTGATCGGGAAGAAGCCTGATCTCACGCTGGTGCGGGTGTGGGGCTGCATGGTGCGGTTCATGGTTCCCGAGCAGCAGCGTGGTGGGAAGCTGGCGCCGAAGGCTCGTTGGGGGCTTCACATGGGTGTGTCGCCGGAGAGCAGGGGCTGGGAGGTGCTGGACTTGACCGACAACAAGGTCGTCACGTCGGTCGAGGTGATCTTCTACGAGACGCTGTCGCTGGAGGTGTGGAAGGCGAAGTATGGGCCGGTGTCGGGGCGGACGCAAGCACACTTGCAAACAGACACCTCGATGGCGACGGTTCCGCTGTTCGCCGAAATCGACGAGCCTGCTGATGAGGATGTTGTGGAGGTTCTTCCACCTCCTCCTGTTCTTGCTCCTCCCTCCCCCGTTGCAGATCGGCGTGCGTCGACACCTGTGTCGGCCACCGGCGATGAGGGGAGCCTTGAGGCATCGCCTGTGGCGCCGGCCAGTGGCATCGCCGGCGGTCGACAAGGCGCCAAGCTCGGCGACCAGGATCGGAAGCCGTCGACGAAAGGGGAGCTGGTTGAACAGGAGGCAGCGGCAGGGGTGCAGTCGATAGGGGAGCAGCAGACGGGGCGGTCGACAGAGGAGCTGTCGAAGTCAGCAGGAGGAGAGCAGTCGCTCGATGGGTCGAAGCAGCTGGTCAACGACGAAGATGTCGACGAGGAAGGGGAGCAGTCGGCGGGTGAGGAGTCCACCGACAGCGACGTGGTGGAGGTGCCGATCACGAAGCATGAGTTGCAACGCACAGGTCGAGCTCGACGGCCGTCGTAGTGGCTGAGCTTCTACGCATGCCTACTGCCAGCTGCCTTCACCACGGTGTACGACGAGGTCGACGACGACCTGTTGTACGACGACGACGAGGAAGATGAAGAACTGCCGGAGCTCGACCCCAACGTGCTTGCCGACCCCGAACACCGCTGGAACATCGCCACGATGACGGTGAAGGAGGCGCTGGCGAGCTGGACTGGCGAGGCGGTGAAGGAGGCGCTAGCGAGCTTGAAGGGCGAGGCGGTGAAGGCTGCCATGGATGAGGAGATCCGCAGTCTCATCGGCATGGGCACTTGGGAGCTGGTCGAATGCCCACGCGGGGTGAACATCATGAAGAACCGGTGGGTGATGACGACCAAGTACCGCATCGACGACACCGTCGAGCGTGAGAAGGCGAGGCTGGTCGTGAAGGGCTTCACGCAGGTGTACGGCGCCAACTACGACAAGACGTACTCGCCGGTGAGCGGCTACGTCACGCTGAGGATCTTCCTCAGCATCGTCGCCGTCTTCAACCTCAACCTGATGCAGCTCGACATGAAGAACGCTTTCCTGCAGAGCAAGCTCGACAGGGTGCTCTACATGTACCAGCCGGACTACTTCGACGATGGGACAGGCCGGGTTTGTAAGGCGACGACGACGACGAGGCCGGATATCGCCTTCGCATGCAGCAAGCTGGGGAGCGGCTTCACGGTGAGGAGCGACCAGCAGTGGCGCGAGGTCGACCGCTGCCTCGCCTACCTCACCGACACCCGCGACACCACCCAGGAGTTTGGCGGTGGACCAGAGTCGCTGGAGCTGATCGACTACGTGGACGCCTACGACGCAGGCGAGAAGCAGAACCGGACGAGCACGGGCGGCTACGTGTTTGCCTTCGGAGGGGCCGCGGTCTCCTGGTCGAGACCGCGGCCCCGGAGTACGTCATCAAGTGCGCGACACTCTCCTCGACCGAGTCGGAGTACGTCGCAGCCACGGACGCCGGCAAGGAGGGGCGTCGACTTCGCTTCCTCCTTGCCGAGTTCAAGCAGCTCGATGCTGGGAAGCCGACCATCCTCCGTGTGGACAACAAGTCGGCAATCACTGTCGCTGAGGGCTTGGGGGTGACGGGCAACCTCAAGCACTTGGAGCGACGCTATGCCTGGCTGCAACACATGGTGAGGCGCGGGAAGATCATGCTGAAATACATCCCGATCACCGAGCAGCCGGCAGACTTCCTGACGAAGGCGCTGCATTTTCCGGCTTTCAACCGGTGCTCTGTCGCCATCGGCCAAGTTCGTTTGGCCGACGTCCGCGACGGTGACGATGATGTGCAGTAGTAGGTGCCGTGCCTTTCTGCACGGCTGGTGCGGTGACGGCGTGCTGTGTATGGGATGCATGCCGAGGACGAGTTTTCTCCGTGGAGTACTGCCGTGTGGGCTGCAGGGGAGTGTTAACGGGAGTGAAGTTTTGGCCCCGCCCTCGCTAGGGAAACGCAGATGACTTGTTCGGATGTACGGGTGAAGCAGCCGACTGTTCACAGTGGGAGAGCTGCTCGACGGGCTTCGTCGAGCTGCAGGGAACCGCTGTGGTGTTGCTGTCGACCAGGGAGCTCGAGAGCTGCAGCTGACTGGGCTGGGCGACGGGTGGGACGTCGACCAGGAGGAGCAGTTCGACCGGGAGGTCGACGGAGCAGTCTGTCGAGCTGACATGTGAGCAGCGGTCGACGAGGGGAGCTCGGCGACAACAGCTGACAGTTCTGGTCGACGGAGGGGTCCGTCGACCAGGGGGTAGCTCGACGGGAGCTATGGTCGACCACAGGCACCTGGTGGTCGACCAGAGGCACTGGTGGTCGACCAGAGCACCTGGTGGTCGACCAGGTAGTCCAGGTAACCTGCTCGGCGAGTTCTGTGGAGGCACGCGAACGTCGTCGAGGTTGCGATGGCGAAGGCGACTTCGGGCTGGTATCCCGAAGTCGATGTGGCTCGTCAGGCGCAGACAACAGCTGACGGATGCACAACGATGCAAGTCGGGCCAATCGTCTGCACGCACCTGCGAGCGTGCGCACTGCTGTCTTCTACGGGGCAACGCTAGACAGCCGCTCCGCTGCAGCATTGGCACGCCGTCTATTGCGGCTCCTCTACGCAACGCTGGCAGGCGGTCGATCAAGCTGTGCTGGCGGTCGACCAGGCTAGCTGCAGAGTTGCTAGGTGCCTTATGTAGTCATTGTTGTCATTGCCTGTTCAATCATTTTTATGTAATTCCGACTTTGCTAGTGAAACTCTTGCCAACTTCTCCCGTGAATGTGCAAGTGCTAAGGAACCTAAGCAAATCTACGATCACTCCTGGTAGTTCGTGCCAACCCCCCCCCCCCCCCCCCCCCGTAGTCTAGCTCACTACCTTTGTCGAGTGTCTCTCCTCAGCCTTCCTCCCATTTTGAGATTCTCCAGCTCATCCTAACACGGTTCCTAATTGCGTTCAAAATCCTCCTCTTGTTGAATAGAAAGAGTAGGGCCTAGGCTTAGTAGCCTAGGCCAAAGGGAGTCGAGAGAGTTTAGGCAAAAGAGTGGTGAGTTCACTATGGAGCGAGGTACAAATAACAAACAAAGCATGCAAAGAAGGTGCACCACCAACAAGTTTATAATAACTACACTAACTACAGCTACAGGCAGTTACAGATATATTCTAACACTCCCCCATAACTGCCTGCAGCAGGAGTCTGTGCAGCGACACATCCTGGATGGGTACACCACGAACAGAGAAAACAGCAACAGCAGGCAAGGTAACAAAGCAGGTACAGCAGCAAAGGGGCAGGCACTCCTGCCACCCCTTTACTCTTCTCCCCCCCCCCCCCCCCCCACCTCAGAGGGACGGGGGCTGATTGGTCTCACACCCGCCACCCCAATGCCACTCCCCTGGCTCCCCCACACCCTCACACCCTCACACCCTCCCCCCAGCGGCAGCTGCAGTAGTGGGAACGAAAGGAGGAGGAGGGGAAGGGAAACATACCACCCATCACCCCCATACCCGCCACCCCTAGACCCTCCGTTCCACGGCTGCACGCGCAGCAGGGAGACGAAGAAGGGGGGGGGGGGGGGGGGGGGGGGGGGGAGAGCAGCAACGGGCAGCACAGGCACGGGCAGCAACGGGCGGCAATGGGCAGCACAGGGTCCAGGAACGGCGTCGCATGCAGCTGCAGGGTCGGCACCGTGGGGTCCAGGGGCGGCGTCGCGGGGTCCAGGGGCGGCTGCTCCAGGGGCCAGGGGCGGCTGCTGAGGTCCAGGGGCGGCTGCACCAGGGGCGGGTGCTCCAGG